TTGACCTTTAGGGACGAGCGTCGCAAATTAGTCTTTGCTGCAATCACTAATAATACTTCCATTGGATCGTTGTTGTATCAGTTTTATCCATGTATATCGTTTCTGTCTCTATTCAAATAAATCCTAAATATATCATTTAAATCCTGATTGATCAGGGAAACGTGCACATGGCACGTTTTAGACCCTTTTAGACCTAAATCACACGCCCGCTGCCACAAACGAAGGCTAATGTTCAGATTTGGAAATCTTATTTTATGTGACAGGTCATCTGGATAAGTCCCGAGTCCCTGTGGACAGCAGCGGCTCTGAGGGGCTCAGGGTCTAATCACTGTATTACGCTGACATGACAGACCCACAAGACACTGCTGACAACAGCAGACACTCCTGAGGAAGCAAAACATCCTCTCTCAAGAAACGATAACGCTCTGGAAAATGTGCTATCATTACATTTGTTCTGGAACATTATTACGGTGTTAAATGTCCTGTAAAGCGACCTAACAGTGTCGCAGATCACGACAGGATCTGACAATACGAGCGGGGCGCTAACAGTTAAAATCTGGACTCGCAACACAAAACACAAAGACAAGGAAGTGTGCTATTGTGTTTAACTACTCGCCAAAAAGATCAGTCTGCAGCTAAACAGTGAGGATAATGTTACAACTAAAATAAAGCTGAAATAAAGCAAAATATAAATATTAGATGAAAGAAAATTTGAAGAAATGTTGCCTTGGTAAATAATTGAATTAGTTGGAGTACTAAAATTACTAACTGAAATAAAGCTAGAAATAAAAAAAATTATATAATAATATATAATGGTAAAATAACACTGACGTGATTTTGCAAACACAATATCAAGGGTGAAAAAGTAGATGACGTTATGCACATGAGTGTTGCGTGTTCAGTCTGTATGCCCATCGTTTTTCTTTACAAAGTGACATCGCCAACTACTGGCCTGGCATGAATAATATAGCGGTTTTAGTCGTTTTCGCAGATCAGTGTGTGAACGGAGATCGTTTTAACAACATTGTCGCCTGTGCGGAAAAAGACAGTATCACCTCATTGCACGAGATCCAGGGGGCGGAGTTTGGTAGGATTAGGGGGTGGGGTTAGGGATCAGGGGGTGGAGATGGGTAGGATTAGGGGCGGAGTTAAGTATCAGGGGGCGGAGATGGGTAGGATTAGGGGTGGGGTTAGGGATCAGGGGGTGGAGATGGGTAGGATTAGGAACCACTAACACGAAATGGAATTGCAAAAAGAATGTTTTAAAACAGATTGGACACTCCCCCTGATCACTGCTATTGTTTCGTCAAACAATTAGCCCCGCCCCCCAAACTCAAAGCATTGGTTGAGCCAACAAATGATGTCACTTTTAGGGGAAACTGCCATATTAAAGGTTTACATATCAAACCGAGATAAGATAAAGATAAAGAGATGGGTAGGATTAGGGGCGGAGTTAAGTATCAGGGGGCGGAGATGGGTAGGATTAGGGGTGGGGTTAGGGATCAGGGGGTGGAGATGGGTAGGATTAGAGGTGGGGTTAGGGATCGGGGGTGGAGATGGGTAGGATTAGGGGCGGGGTTAAGTATCAGGGGGCGGAGATGGGTAGGATTAGAGGTGGGGTTAGGGATCGGGGGTGGAGATGGGTAGGATTAGGGGCGGGGTTAAGTATCAGGGGGCGGAGATGGGTAGGATTAGGGGTGGGGTTAGGGATCAGGGGGGTGGAGATGGGTAGGATTAGGGGTGGGGTTAGGGATCAGGGGGTGGAGATGGGTAGGATTAGGGGCGGGTTAGGGTTCTCCAAAAAGACGCAAAGTAAAAACTTTTCCATTTATAGTACAGCGTTGTCATGTGTATATGTATCCTAAGAGGTCTTGGTGACACAATTTCAGAGGACGTCCAAATTATCTAGTCTAGTCATTTTCTAAATAGATATAAGGACCTTTAAAGCTAAAATGTGCAGTTTCTGAACCACTAACACGAAATGGAATTGCAAAAAGAATGTTTTAAAACAGATTGGACACTCCCCCTGATCACTGCTATTGTTTCGTCAAACAATTAGCCCCACCCCCCAAACTCAAAGCATTGGTTGAGCCAACAAATGATGTCACTTTTAGGGGAAACTGCCATATTAAAGGTTTACATATCAAACCGAGATAAGATAAAGTATTATATATGATTTGCAAAACAAAATATTTTTTCTACAACCCAAGAGAAATGCATCTGGGGTCAACGAGGAAGAATAACTAGAACACGATCCGACACTATGCACTGAATCATTTTGAGTTAAGTCTGATCACATGACACCACAGAGGGAGTTGGTTCGAATCTCCATCAATGATCAGACGGACTGGACATTCACAACCACCTGAGGTCAATGGATCTCTCCAGAGGGCATTCAGATGTCATGACAAGCGTTCACACACTGCATGGAACACAGTGTACCAGCCACATGCACTGCACGAGAAATAAATAAATAAAACAGCGCTCCTTCTTATGTGCAAAAGGGATTATTTGGTCACGCTTAGTGATGCAATGTACATTTGCATGAGAAATGAAATGCATTAACTCTGTGCAAGCCGTTTACCTTATTGCAGTACAGCATCCAAACCTCATACAGTCTCTCGGTCGATGCCATTCTGCACTGCAAGCTGTGAGCATGTAGGCAGAAACCTTCCTGATGATGATGATGATGATGTGTGATCAATATTCCTGAGTCCTCATGGTGTTAACATCCCGGCGAAAGGAGTTTTCCCAAAAACCACATTCGCTCGTGGATCACAAATCCCACCAATGGGTGAATAGAAGTCTGTGTTAATCCAGGATGACAGATCGTGTCATTTCCTCTGTGCACGGTGAAATCACATCCATCATGTGAACGATACGAATCCCAGATGGCTTGGACTTGTGCGTTTCCGGCACTTTCTGATATTCCAAAAACTCCTCAGCTCTTCCAAGCCCTGTCGACAAATAGAGCACACATTAAAAACAGCCCTGTGTTTAGATGCTGCATGAATGCATTGCAATTCCCAAAAGCACATTTGCATGCCACGGATAACAGTAAATTTGCAATGCATGACTCTGGATTGAGAAGGAAAAAAATATCCCAAAATAAACAGAGACCCATGACATCATCTCAAGCCAACTCAACATGTTCACAGAGCCAACATTATATTCCTGACTTTCAAAGAGCAAGTCGTGTAAACTATATTTTAACTCCAGCATTGACAAAATCAGATCATATTATTTATATATGTCCAAAAATATGCACAAAGTAAAAGAGTTGATCTAGAACTCTGGGTGTTGTTATTGTACATACTAGACTAAAACACTAACTCTAGATTTAGACTCTTTGAGGGTCTCAAAACATTCAACACATGTGCAATTCTATAAAGATATGACCAACAGCATATTTCTTGACATACATTTAAATATAACTCTTATGAAACCCCCACTAATGTCATGGCTTGTAATTTTATAAACATTAGTTAATATCGTCATAACAAATGGCAACGGTATATATACTAGTATAATAATGTCTCGGAATAAATACATCAGTTTCCTATGAGTCTGAAACTCACCTGCCTCAACAAAAGCAGCCCGTCGAAACTCCCGAGCCGAAGCTTGTGTTCTGGTTACGAATCCAGGAATGTTGTTGCATGAAGCGAAAGCACCACTGGCATTTAAACCGGTCAGTTTAAACACCACAAACTGGCTTTTGACTCATTCTGTAACCAGATCAGCCTGACAGACTGGATGCATTTGACCAGTATCATCGCACTGGATTGCGACGGCTCGGGAAGCTTGAAGGTGTATGTGTGTGTGTGTGTGTGTGTGTGCGCGCGAGCGCGCGCGCCTGTGTGTGTTTTTCTTCGTAGATATGTTTTACGACAGGCCGCACTCCTTTACGTTGCCTATGTGGAGCTCATGCAGCTCATGTGAGTCGCAAACAAAGGCGTGCCTGAAACTCGCGTTCATTACGTAAAGCAATTAATATTCATGAGCACGCTTTTAACAATTCGTCAACTGATGCCAACGTCAGAACGTATTCCCCCGTCAGCCAATCAAGTAGGCGCACTGCAGAAACATGACCGTGCGTAATTAATATTAATAAGATGCCTTCAACTTAGAAGGACAGGTAAGTGGGTAAGTATGTGAATATATATTACTTTGATATGAATGTTATCCTCATATACAATAGCTGATGTTTAACATGGTATTAATGTTTTATGACGCTATTAAATTCTTGTGTATCTGGTAATTCATTTGTCTCTTTCGAAATGTCATGTATATATTGTTGGAAATAAACTTTTTATAAAAACTTGGGACCGGTAAGCTCAACAAGGCTCGGCCGTCGATGTTTTTAGATCTAAAATCCGTGTAATTAAATATGTAATTTCTTTGTAACGTTTACGTTATTATTTTTACATAAACACATTACAAGATTAATATGTAAAATCTATGTATATGATATATGAGCGCTCCCTGCTGGCCAAAGAGTGCATATACAGAATTACAACACACATACAAATTGCAGGAAATGATTAAATATTACTTTTGTGAGCTCAAAAATAAAAATCACAAAAATTAGATCAGGAAATAAGGTCAGTAAGTGATCAAGACAAATTAAAGGAAAATAATGTAATTAGATAACACATTACAAAGGTTTTATTGTTAACTACATTAGTTAACATGAACAATCTACAACACTTATTAACATTAGTTAATGATAATCCCAGCATTTCTTAATACAATTTTAAGATTACAAATTGTATATGTTAACATTAATGCACTCCAAGCTAACATTCACTTTTTTATTCTCTAACATTAACAAAGGTTAATAAATGCTGTAAAAATACATTATATTGCTCATTGTTAGTTCATTGAGGGAACTAATAAATAATACATTAACTAATGTTAACATATAAGTGTCACCAATAATTGTTTATCTGACATTATAATAAGAAAAGGCAAAAAGAAAAAAATGACTAGACACCAAAGAGTTGAGAAACAGAGTAAGAATATATTTATCATATGTCTAAATACAGTGAATACAATATCAGTCACAGTTAAACCTGCTCAGTCCTTCAGTTTGATCATGATTGCGTTCCAGAGCACATGTTGAGGCAGTGTTGACGGCCGTTTGAACAGCACAGCGTTGATGGCTTGGTTTATTTCTTCACAGGATTAAAACATTTCAACATTTCAGAAAACAGTTTCTTCATAGAGAGCAAGAAGGTTATGGAAATCTGAACAGAGATACACACAAAACACATGTACTGTACACACACCCACACGTTCACGGTCACAGGCTGAGTGGGTGATGTACTAATAACCTTCACACACACACACATGACATCTGCCTCTCAGCATTTATGGCTCAGATTGATGACCTCACTCATAGGAGCTGGATCAAATCCAGTGAACATCAAACAGGAAGCTCTGATCAAACACTGACACAGGCTGCATCCCAAATCACATACTTCCCTATCCCTACTATATAGTAGGTGAAAAACAGTCTGTGACAAAAGAAGTAAGTCTGAATTCACAGTACTCATAAAAGAGAAGGCAAAAATGACCCGGATGACCTACTTCCAGCGAGTGTGCATATGATGGACACTTTGCCATCCCATGAGGCCACGGGAGAGGATTAGTGAATCACAGTGAGGCGAAGCAACTGATACTGGTAGGTCACATGATAACGAAAACATGGCAAACGTAGTCCAGATCACATAGAACATACTTTTTTTAGTGGCTGTCAAGTAATTAATTATTCAAAATAAGTACCTACTCAAGAGAATATGCCATTTTGGTCTAATGGGAGTGAATACTGTAGTACTTGGGTGACCCACTCCATTAGTCAGAATGTGCAGCACACAGATGAGCGCACAACATTGAATAAGACACAAGTCACGTGTCTTTCTTTCATTTTTCTGTCCATAATTAAAGTAAAACCGTTGCATAAAGTCAATCTGAACACTTCCTGTTTATCAAAAGGACTTGCTCGTCCCAAATAGCTAATAGTAGGGCTGCACGATTTCGGGGAATAAAAACTTGTGATTTTTCTGATAAAAACTGTGCTAGTGATTCAATAAAAAAGCTCTAAGCTCTAAACGTAGTGATTATATATAAATATGAGTATAATAATAATAATAATATTAAACAAAATATTACTATTGTAATGTAAATTAAAGAAAAATGTACTGTGAATGAAGCCACTGAAAACACCATCAATACACGCAGTGCATATTTATTTAATTAAATAGCAGCATTTATGATTTGATAACTGCACTAAATCACAATTTCAGTTTTAATAAATTTGAATATTTTTTTATTTATATTTAAATTTTAATAATCGTGCAGCCCTGGCTAATAGGCTTTCAGTTTCGGTCATGATTTTCTACCTGCTATTGATATTCAGGAAAATCTAGGCAGCTGGCATGTGCTCATTCTAGAGAGCATTTGATTGGCTAAAAATGTAGATAAGCCCATAAGTGCAAGATGATGTCATCGATACTTTGGTCCGTGAAGAGAGGGAATATAGACCAATGAGATTTCACCGTGGGTGGCCTACCGCAGTATACAAACCGAGACAACGGCAAAATAACAAAATTTAGCAGCTGGTTAGGATGGATTAACATGGAATATATGTATCTCTAGTTGCCCGGCCCGGGTCAAGGTTTGTGTGAGGAAGGAAATGGCCTAGAGAGGGACGGCCATGTTTAGGAGAAGTCCCACATGCCGTCCTCCGGCTCGGCGTCGCAGGGAGACGGGGTGTTGCAGGTCTGGGTCGGCGTCCCGGATGGAGGTGTGTCTGGAGGACAGGACACTGGCACGGCCGGATACATCAAACTCAGGAAAGAGTCCCTCGTGTGTTTCTTCACCTGGAAGACAGACACACAGATCAATTCATGAAGATTTTAGGTTACACTCGAAGACTGAAGATTTAGTGAAAGCTGGATGAAAGGGTGAATCTACCTGTCTGAAAAAGGGGTGGCTGAGGAGAGCAGTCGCAGACGGCCTGAACACAAACACACATATCGCATGGGGTTCAGTAAAGATAAAGGGCCAGACTGACCAAACAGGGCTAATTAGCACGAGAACACAATAGGAGTGGAGAGTTCTGGGCTGAGGACACACAAATTAATGAACACAGACATAATGGACAACACAATCTACTACGAGCCACATGGGGTGGTAAATAATGGCACAAATACCAGTAAATTGACGAGCACGAAGCTTAGTAAATCACTTTAAAGGGATAGTTCACTGAAATGATTTTTTGGTATGTTTTAGCATACCTCAAGGGCATCCAAGATGTAGGTGTCTTTGTTTTCGCAGTAGTTCCAATTTTGATATTTTTAGGTCAAACCGTTTGTGTCTATCAGTCATATAATGGAGGTCTATGGTCACCACCTCAAAGAGCATGCGCAGAGAAGTCCAAATTAAACATGATTTAATGACTCGTAAATGTAAGCACACATTGATGGCCTAAGACACGAAATGAGCGGTTTGTGTGAGAAAACGGACAGTATTTATATCGTTTTTACCTCTTGTAATCACAGCCACGTCCAAGTACTCGGCGCAAGCGCCGGAAGTGATCTCGTGCGTGTGTACGTCACTCATTGTTTACACAGAGATTTCAGAAGTTTTACCTTTCACTGTGAAGATCTAAACATATTTAGATATACAGGAAATCGCAATGGAAGACGATTTCGATATATAAACAGACAACGTTGAATTTTTTTCACAACCACGGCGCTTGCACAGACCGAAGCGCCAGCGCCCTCAGATCACTTGGACGTGGCTGTAATTACAAGAGGTAAAAACGATATAAATACTGTTCGTTTTTTCACACAAACCGCTCGTTTTGTGTCTTAGGCCATCAATACTTACATTTACGAGTCATTAAATCATGTTTAATTTGGACTTCTCTGTGCATGCTCTTTGAGGTGGTGACCATAGACCTCCATTATATGACTGACAGACAAGAACGGTTTGACCTAAAAATATCAAAATTGAAAATACTGTGGAAACAAAGACACCTACATCTTGGATGCCCTTGAGGTAAGCTAAAACATACCAAAAATTAATTTCAAAGTGAACTATCTCTTTAACCCATTTAGGCTTAAAACGCCTGCTAAAAAGCCCTGCTTTTCTGAAAACCCCCTCCCAAAACTTTAATGTTTCCAGAAATATTTGTCAAAGCCTACTAAAATCTTCTCAGGCTCTATATCAGATAAAAACATGGAATAAAAAGCCGGCACGGCTCAAAATGAAGCAAACGCGTTTGCCAGGCTTAATAGTGACTACGCACAGATGAGGGATCCGGTCTTAAGGGTAAACACACACAGATGTGTGATCCGGTTTTAATGGGTTAATAAATAAAATGTATATATTTTTTGCATTTCATTAAAAATATATATTTTCGTGTTATGACTCTGGAATTATTTCGCTGTTTTTCACTTTAACAGATAAATGTGTCACATTGTATAAACTAAACTTCTGAGAGAACATTTTTGTTAATAAAGTGGACTTTATTCCAAAGTTCCCCTTAAGTCCACTTCTAATGTTAATAAAGTTTTTGTGCAAAAAAAGTAAGAGAATAGTAATAGAATGGTAACATCATGTCGCAATCAATAAATTACCAAAAAACCTTATGCAAAAATTATTTTTTGACATATTTTGTATAAAGTGCCTATAGACAATTTGATTACAAAAATGTAATCTCAATGTCAAGTTTAGAGGGGTTATTCACATCTACAGTACTAATAAAATCCAACCCTAAAGTTTAGGTTTTTGTTTTATTTCAATTTTCCACTGAAGTCCACTTATAGTACTAGTAAAGTTTTAACATTTTTAATAAGAAGAAATCAAATTGCGACACTGAAGACTGGAGTAATAATGCTGAAAATTCACAGGAATAAATTATATTTTAAAATATATTACAATAGAAAACAGTTCTTTTAAATTCTAATAATATTTCACAATTATACTATTTTTACTGTATTTTTTGATCAAATAAATGCAGCCTTGGTGAGCAGAAGAGCCTTTCAAAAACATTACAGACCCAAAACTTATGTTGAAATTCGCCTAAAAGCTTCATGTGTCCATTTCGAGCTCTGGCAGTGTTGTGTTTGCGGTCTCTACCTGCGTTCAGGCTGCTGCTGCAGGCACAGTTGGACCAGGTTGTGCAGTGTGACCGAGTGGTTTTTGGGGGCGGGGCTTTGAGGTCTCTCTGCAGTGGCAGTACGAGTCAGACTTCCAGTCGCAACACTCTCGCCGATCCCCGAATCCACACCGGAGCGCGACACCTTGAGCGCCCCCATGTCTCCGAGCGGGTAAGGGGGGACGTCGAGGAGACAACAGTGAGAACCCCGCAGCTTCTGAAGCAGCATCTGAAGAAGAAACAGCGTTCAGCAATCATAGCTGCATGCTCACAGATGGCACAGGTGAAGAACGGCAGTACCAGAGTGGGCGGCATGTCCTGGAACGGCACTCTGCCACTGACCAGCTCGCATGCCAGGATTCCCAGACTGTAGATGTCGGATTTCACTCCATAGCCATGAAGATCCTTCATCACACACAAAAATCCATCATAATGTGTCATGAAGCGATACGTTTAGAATTGATGTTGGTCCTGACCTGGTTATCGGCCGATATTAGTAAACCAATTGATTAATGGACTGCTATAGCATGATTTTTTTTGTAGATTAAGTTAGCTTCTTCCTTCTCCTTTTTTTTCTATATTCTTTTTCTTCTCTTTTGAACATGCTGAGTTTAAATATACTCTGTTATCAATGACCATGTTCTGAAGAGGAAAAGGAAATGAAAAGAAATAAAATTATTTATTCATTCATTCATATATACAAACTCATATACTCTCTCTCACACACACATACACAAACATAGAGACTACTTTCAAAAACATTAAAAAACCTTCATGTTTCCTCTTTCAACTTTTGACCAGTAGTGAATCCGTCAGAAATATATATATATATATATATATATATATATTATAATATGCTAATTTGGTGCTCAAGAAACATTTCTTATTATCAATCATGAAAACAGTTGAATATTTTTGTGTAAATCCTAAAATAATGTTTTTTCAGAATTCTTTGCTAAATAAAAAAGTTCGAAAGAACAGCATATATTTGAAATAGAATACTTTTGTAACGTTAGAAACGTAATTACTGTCACTTTTGATCAATTTAATGACTAAAAATATTAATTTATTTAACCCTAAAACCGTATTCTGGACAAATGTGGGCAAAATAGTTTTGATTTATTTTTTAAAAATACTTCCCTTGATGGCTACTTTTCCTAAGTTTGTCTCCTGAACACACACACTTTTTTTTTGACTCAATTCTACAATGTTAAGTGGGTGAAAAAAAACTCCATAATCTTGTATTTGGGTCAAAAATGGGCACCCATAGAAATGAATGGGAAAAACTGTAATTTAGAGCATTCTAAAATAAGCCAAATTAAGACACCAGGTGACAGCAAAGCCACTTCATCTTTAGGTTTTAACTCTAAGAACTTACTGGAATGATATTTTAATGTAGTAAAAATAAAACATATAATTTATATAGAAAATATGGTACTTTTTGAAGTAAATAAATTCAAAAATACCCCCAAAATAAAAAAGAACCCCCGTAAATAGATAGACAAAACTTTATCGAAGACATTGATATAACATTTATAATAAATAAAAATTAGGATCACACTTGAGTCCTCTGTGCCCACATTTGTCCACAATTACAGGATTAAGGGCTATAAAGTGAATACGGTTTGAGGGTTAAAAGAAATCTTAGTAACGCCAAACTATTGAAAGGTAGCATGTATATCAGACAGTTTTGGATATTTAATTGTGCATGCTCATTTTTTACATTAAGATTGCACCTGTCATAATCAAACGCTTTATTTCATATATTGTTTATTGTTTTATACTGTCTATAATGCTGCTGTTTGGACCAGCTTTCACATGTGGATTGTCACCTGTCGCAGAAGCTCCGGGCTCAGCCACGGCAGGAGAGACGGACTGTGCTGAGGCATGTCAAACACAGCTCTCATCCTCTTGCCATCCTTCATCAGACTGTACACACTCTGAAGCCCTGACAAACACACACGGCCCTCAGCTGACAGCAGCACATGACTCGCCTTCACACCTCTGCCGGAGAGAAGATTAAAGAGATTAATTTAAACCAAACCCATAAGACTTTTGTTCATCTTCGGAGCTCAAACTAAGATGTTTTTAATGAAATTTGAAGTGATTTCTGTCGTTTCATTGAAAGTCTGTTCACCCAAAACTCTGACGGTTCAAATCTTTCATAAAGAGATCGTAAAATAAAGATTAATTGGGCAGTTTAATCCAATTCTTCAATCGCTTTATATTACAAACAAATTAAATTCAGGCATTTATTCACATTTAAACATCAACAGAAGCTCAAACATGCTGTGTGAGATGCGAGAATGAATCAAGCATGCTTGATCTCCGTTTACCATATTTGAATGCTGATCAATGTTTATATGTGAAGAAAAAACCCAAATGAATCATATAAAGCGATTGTTTCTCTTCAGAAGCTTTGTGCTGTTTCCCAATTCCCATACTTTCCATCCTAAAAAAGTTAGAAATAATGCGTTTAAATCATAGTATGTTGTAATGAGTGTTCCATTGATACCTTTAGTCTACTATTTTTTATAAGTTAAAATATGAAGTGCAGATCCTGAGCTGAATTAGTTCACTCTACTGGCTAATATTGCCAACAAACAATTGTGTTTGGACCATAGATATCCATAACAATGCGCTGCTGGCCAATGGAGGTCAACGTCCGCACTTGGCGGCCATCTTGTCACAGGCAGCTCGCTCACTCGTAACATTGTGTTGAATGGCGAATGTACTTTTTAAATAACCATAACTTGCTCAATTTTCTACCGATTTTCAAACGGTTGGGTTTGTTATAAACGTCAGAGATGTAGCTATTACACTGATGAATAATAAGTGTATAAATAAATAATCAACTAGAATTGTAGCCACGTTAATAACCTTTGTAAGAAACCAAACCGTTTGTAAATCCGCCAAGATTTCAGCGAGATAAGAGTATTTGTGTTCGTGCTGATCACTCATCTTACATCAGGAACCACAGAGCCCGCCAGAAAGCTTGCCTGTGACAAGATGGCCACCGATAATGACGATAGAGACTCCGCCGTAAGACATCTAGCCTTTATTATGGATATCTATGGTTTGGACAAGGATTCTTAAAAAAAACTACAAACATGGCGGATATGCGAGACCGATAGTAAGTAGAGAGGTTTAGATAAAAGAGTGATTACCTAACAAAAATATATTTTGTCAATGTTATCCACATTATATTTCATCTGCAACAGCATTATGAACTTTTATAAAGATATGTTTGGTCATAAACTTTTAAATGCATCATTATTTAAACACATGAGGAGAGTCTCCGCATGAACGACACAAAACTGGCTGATCAACGTGGCCGTGCGTTTCTCTCTGATACAATAGGAAATCAGATTAAATTGAATATTAGAGGATTTTTTTGTTCTCTCAATGAAAGTCTGATGGTTTTGGCATGACATGAAGGCAAGTAAATGACAGAATTTGAATTTTTGGGTGAACTATCCCCTCTGTGAAACCGAGCCCTCATGCGCTCACCTGTGCACGTAGCCCATGTGATGCAGGTACTCGAGCGCTCGGAGAACCCCGTACAGCAAGTACGCCATCAGAGACTCGCTCATTCCATCCGGAAAGTACGACCTGAGCAGAGAGTCTGCAGAACCTGAATGAAACACGTGCAGAGAAATTACACCAGGGAAGGATGGGGACAGAAAACACAAAGCAAGAGACAGATGAGTGTGAACTCTTACCGTAACTCATGAGCGGAGACAGAACCCAGAGCTGACAGCAGGAGCTGAACACCAGTCTGGACGTGAGCAGGTTCGGGTGACGGAACCGTCTGGACAGCAGAACCTCATTCTGCAATTAATGCACAAGCACAATGGGCTTTTCCGAGAAAAGGTTGTGTGTATGTGTCTAAAATCTGAAAATGCCCTCACGATTAGTCAGTCCTCTTCGGACCCTAACTCGAGGACAATCATCATAACAGGGCCAAAAAAAAAACTCAGATATGTATATATACTCTCAGAAAAAAGGTACAAAAGCGGTCACTGGGGTTGTACCTTTTCAAAAGGTAAACTTTTGTCCATTTTAGGTGCTAATATGTACATTTTAGGTGTTAATATGTCCCTTTTAGGTGCTAATAATAAGTACATTTTAGGTGTTAATATATACATTTTAGGTGCTAATATGTCCATTTTAAGTGTTAATATGTACATTTTAGGTGCTAATATGTCCATTAGGTAGTAATATGTACATGTCAGGTGCTAATATGTACATTTTAGGTGCTAATATGTCCATTTCAAGTGTTATGTACATTTTAGGTGCTGATATGTACATTTTAGGTGCTATTATGTCAATTTCAGGAGCTAATATGTACATTTTAGGTGCTAATATGTCCATTAGGTGGTAATATGTACATGTTAGGTGCTAATATGTACAATTTAGGTGCTAATAAGTACATTTTAGATGTTAATAATTTTAGGTGCTAATATGTACATTTTAGGGGGTAAAAATATCCATTTCATGAGCTAATATGTACATTTTAGGTGCTAATAAGTACATTTTAGGTGTTAATAATTTTAGGTGCTAATATGTACATTTTAGGTGCTAATATGTACCACTAAGGTACCAATGTGCAGCCTTTGGGTACAAAAGTGTACCTTTTGAAAAGGTACAGCCCAGTGACAGCTTTTGTACCTTTTTTTCTGAGAGTGTATATATATATATATATATATATGCTCCATTCATAAACAAAAACAGATGAAATCAATAGAAATGCCAATCCCATAAAAGTCTGAAAATTAAAAATATATATATTTTTACATATTCTTTTCTAAAGTTTCAATAAACAATGTGATTTTGAAGCTTCAAAGCTTCATTTTCACATAGTATTAATCAATGGTAAGCTCTCGTAAGTGTCCTACACACCATCAGCTGCAGCAGCTCATCTTCTGTACACTCGTCCAGGTTTGTGTTTTTTACTGCCACCAGTCTGCCAGACGGTGTGTGGCGTGCCATGTTCACCTGACTGAGGTTATTAAAGCCCCGGCCTGCACATATATACAAAAATACCCACACACATAAGCATTCAGAACAGAGTAAGACATATGGTTATACATGATATAAACAAGATAACTAACTTATATCATACTATTCAGCAAGACATGATCCCTACCCAGTTGTGACAGCAGCTGATAGTGGGCGGAGTCAGTGGAAAGATCTGTGATGTCATCTCCATCCGTCAACACAGAACACGGAGAGACGTCACTGCTCTGTCACACACATAAACAAAGCAAATCAACGACATCAACACATGTCACGCATACAAACAGAACTCTACTACTGTACATGGGTAAATCTATCATGGAAGAATATTCACAGGTCTCAGATCAGTTTTATCCTGCATGATAGTATAATGACTGAAAAACAGGTACACTAAAGCAATTAAAAACACGTAAAGCTGAAATAAAATCTAAATATTAGATGAAAAAGTTTAAAGCTTGGCTTTGGTGTTCCTCATTAGTACAAGTCTTAAACATTGTTTTTTTTTTTTCTTGCTTTGAATAATATTGTTATATTGAATTTCATAAGCAAGTCTTGTTGCAGAAACAGAAAATGCATCGCATCACTTTGCACTTTAAGGGGTGATTGAGTTATGTTGCAAATGCAATTAAGCCAGATTTGATATTATTCATGTAGCTTCTATAAATATGTCAACACTACAGCCAACTTCAGCTCATTTTGTATTGAAAATCCTAGTAGACCACGTATAATAACTCTAGACCATGAATAGGAAAGTGACTCAGCAGGCTGCAATAAAAGACTAAATATTCCTGTCACAGGAGGGGAACCAGTGAGCTTTCATCCAGAAGATGGGACAGAAAAACTGCTTTGTGACGCCCAACACAATGGATCCACTCAGAACACCTTTTTACAAAACAACAATCTGAAACTCACTGGAGCTTGTGCTGAATATCCAATGATGTTTCAATTGGCATGACTGATGTGTCCATCGCAAGACATAGTGTCTGCTAAAGGACTTTCACAATGACAACTATTTGCAGCGACAAAGTGACTGGAAGTCATTGATTTTAAATATGATTTAAAGCGACGTGTGCAACGGAGGCCGATGGCAATGCGACAAAGTTAAGCTGGGTTCAAAATTTCATAATGGATATTTAGGTATCAAACAGGACACAGATTTAAAATGGAATTATTATTATTATTATTATTATTAACACAAACATGATGATATTAGTAATGATTGAAATGTGATTTAAAATACTGTATATTACAACAGAAAACAGTTATTTTACATTATAAAATATTATTTCACCTAATATTTTGTAATTGTATCCTGTTTAATATAAATAAATACATAAATAAGCCCTTGGTGAGCATTAATATTCTGTGGGTGTGTGTGTATATATATATATATTTATTTTATCTTTTATTAGGGCTGTGCAAAGATTAAATGCGATTAATCCAAAATTAAAGTTTGTGTTTCCATAATATATTTGTGTGTGCTGTGTATATATATATATACACAGTATTTGCATGCAAATCATTCTTAAATATATACATGCATGCATATGTATTTATATATACAAAATAATTATACACAGCACACACACACACACATAAATTATGGAAACAAACTTTTATTTTGGATGCGATTAATCGCAATTAATCTTTGCAAGGCCCAAATATATATATTTGAGCTCAAAGAGTTATTATTTTCATAGTCTATATTATTATAGAGTTATCTTGATTGAAATATAAATATAATATATAGCAAATCCCCTTTTGATAGTAACATTGTAATTTCAAATAATGCCTAAAATGAGTGTTAAAATTTTTTTTTTTTTACATTTTAGAGATTCGTTCACAAACACTGATCATTCATTAATGAAACAAGTGAAGTATTTATCGGTGAGTCATTGAATCAATCATTCATTCAAACCAATTTAGTTTATTAATTAAACATTTTTAAATAGACTGCAGCAATTATTTTGTCAGATCCTCCAGTAACGTACATGTTATTTTATTAAGTTGTCCGTTCAGAAACACAGTTAAATCGTGATTTCAATTTGAAACCAAACACAATTGTGATTCTTAATTTATCCACAATTGTGGAGCTTTAATATATCTAGACAGATAGATAGAAACATGCATATATACATACACAACTATAATATTGACAGTACCGCTTGTAGATTAAATAAATTAAAATATATCTGACATGTTTCGTCACACAATCACTGTGTGACTACATTTCTTAGAATAGCAACTTACATAAATTCCTCTTCCTGTCATTCAACACCCTGTGGTTTGTGGCCAATTCAATTCAAATTCTACCTGAAACCACATTGAGCCAATTCCTAAATTTACAATTGTGACAATTGTCCTGTTAGCGATCAACAGTGCAGTAATTTAATCAGAGTCTGTGTGAGTTTTCCAAGAGTGATGCCTTAAACACACCACTGAGGCCATGATGATCTACTATTAAACTCCACTGACCGAGCACTGATGGCTGATGTCTTCATACTGCTCCTCTATGCTGATGGACTGGACATGTGAGTGGGACGAGATACAGGTGCAGTCCTGAGGGGAAGAGGGGAGGAAAGATGAGACACAACCCCCACCCCACAAATGAATATGGAGATGAATACGAACATCCAAAGTATGAATATGCATTAAAGGGTGGGCTGAAGGGCAAAGCAAGACAAGTCAAAAGGAAGAGATGATTATGGAAATCAAACTAGCCATGTTTGATTAAGCTTTGGTCACAGGAATGATCCAATGCAAAAAGTCAACATGAAAAAAAAAGAGACAACTTCCATAATGTGACGCATTACTGAGTAAAACGGGATCTGGTGTAAGTGCATTATGCGTTTGCTTTTACAAACTGAGGGCCGAATCATGCATATAGAACCGACGAGCGAGACCTTAACAGACAATGATAATATTAATAATGAATTTATGTATAATTATGAACAGGCTTGGGAGGGTTACTTTAAAAATATATTCTGTTACAGTTACAAATTAATTCATAAAAAAAGTATTTAGTAACGTAATCCAAGTAATGAAAGTAATGTAACTGATTACTTTTGGATTACTTCAACGAGAGATATTATTTTAAAAAACAACAACTTTTATGTATTAAGAATTTCACAGCCCTGAATAAATATTTATGTAAAGGACTACAGACATCTAGTGGCTACAGTATGGTATTACAGATTTCTTTGTTTTATTTTTAACTTCACATGTACGAGGAAAAAATTAAATGGAAATGTTTCTTCAACTGGAAAAGAGAGAATACAAATTCTTTTTTTTTTTAAAGCAAATATAATAAAGAATTTTTAGACAATGGAAATGTTTCTTCAACAAGAAAATAGAGAATGCAAATGATTCTTTAGGTTGGATGTCGAGTCCTTCGATAAAGAAAGTGTTTTTGTTGCTGGAAGGCACACGTTGCACTGTACAATCATGTTGTTGGCATTTTGTTCTTTTAAAACAAAATATCAGCGGAATTCCAAGAAATTAAAGCACGTTTACATCGTTTCTTAGCGGCAGTGATTCGATCTATGTCTGAGGAGAATTAGATGCTGTTATTTTGCGCGTGCACCAGCGGGTGGCACACGTGACTCGTGACGTGTTGTTAGTCTTTAATCAAGCAACGCTTAATATAGTGTTGCTCAAGCAAAATACAGATTTATTTAGTTTTAAATGAAACCATTGTAATCCTGAAAGTACCAACCCTTTTTGTTAGTAATTTTAAGTAATTTTTGTATCCTGATTACATTACGCTGGTACATGTATTACGTTACTTAGGCTACTACCAAAATAGTCTCTGTTACAACCCAACCCTGATTATGAATTATGATTATTCATTTTGATTATCATGAATAATGCTGGAAGAACACTTAATGGTAATTTTCCAGAATGTTCTTTTAAATAGAATTGATGTCAAAATGTTCTTTTATAACATTAGTTAAAAACAATCCAATGGGTAGGGTACTGATGCCAAATTAACATCTGTTTTCATGGCTATTAATCACAGTATTTATTTATTTATTTATGTATTACTGAGTGAAACAGGATCCATTGTAAGTGTAACACGCTTTGTGTGTGTTTTTAAGTCATGCTTAATATAGACCTTATTCACAGCAGTGCCACATTAGATTTTTATCAAAGCGGATGAAAGAGAGGCTGTGAGGGACAGACGTACATCTCTTCAGTGAATGAAACACAGCTAAAATATCTTCAGTCGACAAAACCTGAGTTGTGGAAAATTATAAATGATCTCAGAGCTTTACATAGTTTTTACAGCGGATTGAAAACACGTCAAGTTTATCTATCACTCACTGCCTCGCTTTCATACCTGTTAATTATGCACGATATATCGAACACCATATCAGTATCGGCCGATATATGTTCATTTTTAATGTTATCGTTATCGGTCAGATAAGAAAATTTGCCCCGATATCTTAAAGCCGATAAATAATGGATTATTTCTTTCAGCTGAGGCACTTCAGATGCGCACTGTTCAACGTGATGATTTTGAATTGCTTGAAATATGATTAGAAACACTTCAAAATGTGCAGCGCTCGTCAATCATAGGCTTCATACAATTATAATGAGAACATGCCTTTTAATGGTGAGACTTTTGTTTAAGTAATCTCTCAAAAATTACATAAAAACTTAGAATTATCAACCACCAATACGTCAGTTATCAGCTTTCAAATATAAAAAATTATCGTATCGCTGCTCTGAATAAAGTCTATAGAAGCTTTATTGAATCCAGAACATTCCTTCATGAGTGAGACATTGACACAATCCCCTCTTCAGAGGTGAGGTGGAGAATTGGTGGATATTAATGAGGGCGTTTATTATTAAAAGTGTTGATATCTAGGGACTAGAGAAGAATCAGGCCATGGATTTTGTTCAGTCCTTGTTCATCTTCAGTTCATTTTTCCCAGGCTACTTCATTCCATAAAAACATCCAACTATACTGAATACTAAACCCACTCATGAATCAAAACCAAACATTTCTGATACCTAAAAACAAGACCTGAAGAAATGAACACAGAAAGCATGAATCATGAGCTTAGCAAAAAAAGATTCGACTCTCACCAGAAACGACATGAGGTGCTTTTGGCTGAGCTGATGCTTCACTGGAGTTCATTTATCTGATTCTGGAGACAGTGAAAAAAAAAAAAAATGAGTGCTTCTACAAAAAAAAAATGCCACGCTGCATTTGTCATTGCAAGAAAACAATTGCATGAAAAGCACAGTGTTTTTCCGCTTACCTGGCTTTTGCTCGGATTTCACCGCATAAAAAGACAGGCTTCATCTCATTTCATGCTCCTCCATTAGAGTCCTATGGAACAAACCAAACGCTTTCAAGCAAATATCAGATTTTCCAGGGCTTAAATAACATTGCATATGATATGATACACTATATATCGAGCTGATTATTTCTCAACAGTATCATTTCAAATATATCCTGTCTGAAATTCCTCATGCATCCATGCACTGTGCCCACGAACAGAGCAGCCGGATTCAGTGTCTGCTCCGCTTGAATGAGTCTTTGAGTCTGATCTCCTCTCTGCTCCACACATCATCATCATCATCATCTTCAGTTATCTTGTCACATCTGTCCAGGCACATCAGCTCTCATATCACCACAGATGACATTGGGAACTACTGTCCATTTTGTGCCGTTATGTAATTACTGTTATCAGCATCGAAATGAGTTGCCAGATTACACTTTAGGGAAATATTAAAGATTATTACATATTTACAGCAAAAAGACTAGAATTCTTAGTTAGATCGCAATTGTACATTAAATGAATGCATACTGATGCACAATGCAGAAGATCTACTACATCCCCAAATTGGATGAAATCTTAATTATTAATTATGTAATTATCAGAGCAACTGACAGCATGGTGTCCTTCCTAGTCCTTGACAGTGAATGCATGTAGGTTAACAGGGTTAAGAAAAGAAACATCTTCAAGAAAGAGCCATGGTGCTCTAGAAGGCTCTAAAATAACCTGGACTTTAACATTAAACCCACCTTGTTTCATTTAAATTTAAATAATGTTGCATTAGTGCGTGACTGTCCTAGATACTTATGACAGTAATAATGCACGTTTAACATTATTTGCACAATACCATAACTATTGTTTTATCATATCATGGAGCAATAATTTGCTGGGTTTGATGTGACGCTTAAAGCCATTTATAATAAAAAAAAACAACTCACCATTGTTATGATGAATATGGATGGAGGTTCATCTGTGAATTGTTTTTGCACCCTTGATTTTGACGGCGAGCGTCACTTCTGGGCAGTTACAGTCACTTTGTTCACATCACAGTTTTATTCTATGAGTCTAACATTTAACATTTGTAAGTTGACTTGACAAAGCTTTTCTTTACAGTCCCAGCTGATCACGTTCGACGTACCGGAGATATTTACATAATAAAGGTCTTTCATACATGTCGTAAATGAGCAGCAGAGGACTGTATATAATAAAAGTCTCTTAATAATTCCACCAAACTAGAAAGCTATACATAATAAAAGCACACACGCTATCCCCTCTACCTTTTAAATATATATATTTTTTAATAATAGGAAGGTGGTGATCTAAAAACAGAGGTGATCTTAAATTAATTTGTTTTCAAAGGGACATATGTAAATAATTAAGATAATGAGACAAGACAATACTTCTGTCGCAAAATAAATATATAAAATAATAAGCAAAATAAATATATAAAAATAATATAATTCCTGACCACTCTAATGTTTACAATTTCTCCTAATATTATTATTATTATTATTATTATTGTTGTTGTTGTTGTTGTTGTTGTTGTTGTTGTTGTTGTTGTTGTTGTCGTCGAAAATGTATAAGAATTATTGTGATTGTGACCAATACAAAATAAATAAATAAATATCCCTCGGACTTTTATCACAAAATAAATGTCGCGCAATGTATGACGTATTTATGAATAACTGACGCCAGTTTTGCCCAAACTCTTCCCCAAATACCCCTCCCTCTACGTTCCGTTCGCTATTGTCTCAAAAGCTCGAACTGACAGGAGCCACATGTACCACCATTAACGCTCGGATAAACGGATTTTACGTGAACTAAAGGTAAGAGAGAGGCATATTCTCCACTCTTTCACAGCTGGTGGACAGAGATGTGTGTGTATGTAAAATGAGTGGATGAGTTTGACGGTTCACCGATGTGCTGATGCTCATATGTGGCCATTGGGATTCAGATCAATCCATCTAGTTTAACGCATATTGTTCACTGTATGTTTTTAATCGAGTGTTCAATAGACGTGTATGTGTGTTTTCTGTTACAATTGTGCGTGTTTTAAAGATCTGGATAATCTGTGTGACATCTGCAGGGATTATGAAATCTGTTGCATCAGATCAGATGGGCTGCATCTCTGTGCTGCTTTTGCTCATGTATTTGTGTTCAGGTGTTATACATGATTTTCATCACATTCATCATGCACAGAGACAATTAAAAATCAATCGTTATCATTAACAGCGGATGATTTATGAATTTTAGTTTTATGAACTCGACCTGTTGACTTATTTGACATATTTGACATATATATATATATTACACAGACAGCTAAACTCATAATAATAATGTTACATTTTTCTTGAGAAGCAAATCATCATATCAGGATGATTTCTGAAGGATCATGTGACACTGAATACATTACATTTTACAATTTTACAGTTGTAATATTTCACATTTATCAGATCGAGCAACTAAAAAGCTAAAAATTAAATTGTTTATATTACATTCTGTTTCCTTTAATGATGAGGCCATATATTAATGGCAAGAATTGCAGTACACTACAGACATCATGCCTCATGTGTTTGACTTTAATAGTTTCCTTACAGTCATATTTCAGACTTAAATGTGAGCCCCCTGATCTCATCTCTCACATGGTTTTTGTTTTAGTTTGTAGGATAACCGTTATATGATTGCAGATTGGGGAGATTGATGAACAGATGCTAATGGAGGTTTATTGACGGTTCTCCACTTCTCCTCGCCCTTAAGCGACCAGAGAGGCTGAGATGAGAATATATGGGACGACGTGTAATGATTTATTTCAGATGTCATTTAGATGGAGTTTGCAGTCATGCTGGTATAATTTGAGCGGCGGCTGTCATGAGCTTTGCATTAACATCTGGATCAGAGTCAGACACAATCCTGAGGAGCGTCTGAACAGCAGAACCATAGCTCTACTTTTGGGATGCGTTGATATGCTTGTGCGATGCTGGTTTTGCATTGAGGCAAGTTGAGATTATTAATAACTCTGAGGCTTTGGAATATCTGTTCCCTGTAATGGTCTGGTCAGACATTGTGGGCATGAGGCTCGATCGATATTAAAAGAACAGAGGTTGTCATCACAATCTCTGCACTTCCCAAGTAACAGTACTGTAACTTCCCGAAGAAAGACAAAAAGAGGAAGAACATAAATATCGTTGTTGGGAATTATTTGACAGAAAGGCCTTGCATGGATGCTTATCTTCTGACCATAACAAGAGAATAAATCAAGTTTTCAGTTTTAATAAATACTAGAGTTTTGTGGGAAACGAGAGGGATGGTCCAACACTGAGGATTAAGTGCTTAGGATCATGTTTTGAGAGTTGGAAATGAAAGCAGAAGAGATGGCCAGTATATGTAATAAGTTACAAAATTTACATTTCGATTTTAATTTTCACTTTTGTTTGCAGTATGACATGTCGTCTATAGACATTTTAGTTTAATAAACATATGCACATTGTTACAAAACAACATAAAAAATTAGGGCTGTCAAACGATTAATCGCGATTAATCGCATCCAAAATAAAAGTTTGTGTTTACATAATATATGTGGAATGGATGCACACACACATGCTTGTATATATTTAAGAAATATTTTCATGTATATACTGTATATCGATTTATATAACATTTCTATTATATGTTAATAAAAATATTTTATAAATAATATTTTTTTCTTAAATATTCATGCATGTGTGTGTGTGTGTATATATATATATATATATATATATATATATACAAAATAATTATACACAGTGCACCCACATATATTATGTAAACACAAACTTTTATTTTGGATGCGATTAATCGTTTGACAGCCCTATAAAAAATATATAGCCTATATCACGGTTTCCTTAAATAGTAAGAAGAGCACAATAATATTTTCACCATTGATAGATAATAATCTTAAATGTTTATTAAGGATTATCAAGGAAAAATAAATTTAAATTGTAATATTTCACATTTCTACTGTATTTTTTTTTATCGCATGGTGAATCTTCTTTTAAAAACATAAAAATGATCTTACTGATTCGCTCCATGAATCACCTGCTAAAAACATGAATGAAACCTTAAACTGAATGATGTCTAAATGGTGTGAAAATATAAAATACTTCTCTCTCTGTTGCCTTTATTTTTTTGGTTGGCTTGTGATTTATTTTACATGTATGTAAGCCGAGTTTTGACTTCATCCGTTATAGAACCATCCCTTGTTTCCTGAACGAATCCTGTGTTCTGTAAACCTCATCATGTACATTTCTATGGGATTTTCTTCTTTCCAGACCTCAAGACAGGAAGTTTATGTGTGCTTCTTTAAACCGTTCTTGTGCCTTTCATTTTCTGAACAACAGGAAGTGGCCCTCGCCCCCTCTCTGTGGCCTGTCCTGAGGAAAACAGTCACGCTTTAGAGACAGTCGTCCCAAAAACTATTTAGACCCTAAAGTCACACTTCAGAAAATATCCTATCTGCACTCATAACTATGTATGTTACACTATCATGATAAGTAGTAAAAGTATGAATTATGCATACAGTTTTTATTAATAAATATAGCGATAATAACAGTAATAATACTTTACTACACAAAAATTGGAAAAACCCCAAACAATGTGTACATTATGAATATAAAAATCGTAATCATAATATTCAATCATTATTATTTCTGTTTTTATTCATAATGCATATTTTTTTATGTAATGATATTTTGGTTATTTGGCTAATTTCCTTTTAATAAAATTAATTAAATTGGTTCTGGATATCATGTATTGTACTTTAAAGGAGTAGTTCACTTTTAAAAAAACTTTTGCTGATAATTTACTCACCCCCATGTCATCCAAGATGTCCATGTCTTTCTTTCTTCAGTCGAAAAGAATTGAAGGTTTTTGATGAAAACATTCCAGGATTTTCTCCATATAATGGACTTCAATGGGAACCAAACGGTTCAAGGTCCAAATGAGAGTTTCAGTGCAAACTGCAAACTGTTCAAAGGGCTTTAAACGATTCCAGACGATGAATAAGGGTCTTATCTCGCAAAATGATAGGTAATTTAAAAAATAAATAAAAAAGTTTAAGTTTTATAAGCTCAAATGGTCGCCTTGCTCTGTTTTGTGATGCGTGTTCGTGACTCTCCTGTTCAAACTCGTTCATCAAAATGAACGAATCTTATTTCGAGTCATTTGGTTTATTCAACGAACGAAATTACTCGAAAAACGATTTGTTCATTTCGTTCGTTGAATAAACCAAATGACTCGAAATAAGATTCGTTCATTTTTATGTGAAGTCCATTATATGGATAAAAATCCTGGAATGTTTTCATCAAAAACCTAAATTTCTTTTCGACTGAAGAAAGAAAGACATGGACATCTTGGATGACATGGGGGTGAGGAAATTATCAGCAAAAGTGTTTTTTAAAGTGAACGACTCCTTTAAACATTCAAAAAGTATCAGTCATAAAACAATCCAAAACTGTACAGTACGACTGAAGCCGTCCCCATAGCTCTCCACATGATACAGTATAATGGTTCAAATGTTATCCTTCAGTCTCTCGCTCGGTCACACACACGCTTGCTGAAGCGGAGAGATAATCCGCCGAACAGCTGGAGGAGAAACACTGAAATGTCAGCAGAGAGAGAATGAGGAGTGATTATACACGTTTCTGAAAACACACGTGTGTGTGTGTGTGTGTGTGTGTGTGTGATTATTACTGTAAATGTAATGGTATTTTCTTTGTCTTTCAGGGATAGGCTGGAGTCTGCACATCTCCATGGTGTCTTGACAGGATGTGACATCAGCAGCCTGACATCTTCTGCTGGTGCGGTTTGGGCATGAGTGAGAAGCCCCGCCCTCATTCGCCCAGCTGACCAATCAGAATGTTCGAGGTGAAGCCCATGAGCGTTGAGAAGAAGGACACAGCTGCGGGAACAGGTGTGTGTGAGTGTGAGACACAGATAGAGGAAGTCACATCAGACTGAATTACTAACTACTGTAAACTGCTTCACTGAACCACATATTCACCCAACCGAGCAACAAAAAAAGGAAGATATTAGGGAAATGTAAGACTTACAGGGCTCATGACATGATAAAAATCAAACGTGCCTCGATCTTTTGACATATTAGAGGCCTTTGTACCAGAAGAAATGTTTGAATTAAAAAGAAAAACCGATGTTTATGGATAAATCATTTATAATACTGTAATATTCCATAAAATATATATATATATATATATATATATATATATATATATATATATATATATTTAGTATTATATATTTATAATTACATACACAATTATCTGTATATGATATAGGATACGTATTGTTAATATTATTATAATGATTATTTATTAACAATTGGGCTAAGCAACATTTCTAGTTATTCTTGAACACAAGTGTTTTTTATTTTTTTATTTACTCAAATAAAATATTTTAGTGCTTGACATAACTAGGAAAATGTATATTCTTTATGAAAATATCTATGACTTCCAAGTTTAACCCGACTGAGAGAAATACAAATGATAGTTGAGGTAACAAATTAAAATATTGAAGAAAAAAGCTTATTTTAAAGTTGTTTTGTCTCCATTTTAAATCATTTAAAGCGGTGGCCGCCCCGGTTGAGAAGCTTCTCTAGAATGATTGCAGGCTAATTTTTATTAATTTTCAAGAAACTGATGTAGTAATTGACCTAAAGTCACATCATACTTTTAATTATAAATGTATAAATCATACATTTTGGGACTCTTTCTTTGTAAGGATATGCTGAGCGGCAGGTGGAGAAACACAAGGTTTTGCACATTCTTCAAGAGTTCTGAAAGTTTTTGTTTTTATCTCAACATATGGAAGTTATGATTCCTCATAATATGGCCAAGTGTATCCTGAGTTGAATGAACAGCAGATGGCGTCCATGATGGATTCAAAATGTGCAAGCGTGTCTCTTCTGACCTGTGAAGTTCATTGAACCCTTGACTGAATGCGAGTTATTTCTCTGTGTCTTGTAGATGAGGGCAGTAAGGTGTGTGACGAGGGTGTCAGCGGGGATTCGCTGTATCTCTACGAGGGTCAGGACTGGGTCATCTCCCCCTCCTGCTCTCCTGAGGAAGCCAGCGCCATCTCACCCATGCTGGCTGAGGAAACTTTCCGCTACATGAGTAAGTCACTCTGAGTGTGTGTTTGCAGCCAAACACGTGTGCATGACTGTTTGGTTGCTATGTCTGTCAGGATTGCCATTGTTGTGGAAGCGCAAAAAAAATGCAAAAAAGGATGTTTTACTTCATTGGAATGGTACAAAGTTTGGTACGTTCTTGACACAAATAAGAAAAAAAAACATGGACATGATTCACACGCTTGTACTGTACTTCTCATGGTCAAAAATGACTGCATTGGAAATGAATGGGAATCGAATTTCATCTAGTGGAAACGTTTGGTACTGCACACGCTGAAAGCTTATTTTCTGAGACATCCTCAAATTTGGAACACAACTTTAGATCACTGTAAAAATTAATTTGCTTTATCTAATCAAAAAATTGTGGCAACAGATTACAAGCAAAATTATTAATTAAATTTAACAAATTAGAATTGAGTAATACGTAATCAAATTAATTCCTTAAAAGTTAACCATTTAAAATGAGTAAAACGTACAGTAACAACAAACAAACAATAAAAAAAACATACATTTAAATCACCATTATGTTGATCTGTGTTTTTTTTAGGATTGTTTTAAAATTATGTTTTTCTCCTTCAGTGATTCGGCTTGTTAACATCAGGTGTCTTATATAAATATAAATAGTTCTTAATTAAGTCTGTTATTCACATATTTTTTCATTTTAAATGGTTAACTTTTAAGGAGTTAATTTGATTAATAATTACTCAATTCTAATTTCTTAAATTTAATTAATAATATTGCTTGTAATCTGCTGCCACAATTTTATTGATTAGATAAAGCGAATTAATTTTTACAGTGATTATGGCCTTGATTTACTTGCAGTTTTAAAGCAAAACATGTTTTGGAAAATATATATTTCAGATAAAAAATTAAAAATAGCATTTCTGTGCATTTTTCAGAACAATAAACTCTTATACCTTTTTACTTTTCTCACTTCAGCAATAATCTGCTAAAGTTTCTTCTTTCTTCGAACTTAAGTCTGTGCATTAAACATTTAAAGAAATAAAATTTTGGTCTATGCTCAAATAGTTGTTAAGCGGTAATAAATTGATTATAACTGCTGCATAAATATAATTCAGTAGCATAAAATCCCCTAAAAATACAAAATATGAAATAATATTATTGTACATTATTATTGTTGTACACTTTATTTCTCCAAGAGTTTTATTATTCAGTAAATAATTAATGTTATCCTTTCTCCATAGACAATTTAAACCTTTTTAAAAGGATCGTTTACATGAGTTGGCAGAACAAACCGATCAAACTTTCCAATGTTACACATGGGGGAGAGGGAACTTTAGGACATGTTTGTTTTTATTACTTAATACTTACTGTGCTTGCAATACTTATATGGTATCAGAATAATTATTTTATAGTTGCTTTGTATCGGGACACCTCGGGGGAAAAGTGGCTTGTTACTAGCAAATCTACTTTATCTCAAATCTACAGCTGAGCTGAAACTTGTAGTTAGTTGCATTTGCGTGTGTGTGTGTGTGTGTGTGCCCGTCCCTGGCAAGGGCGCAGGAATTCAGTGGTCAGGTCTCTTAAGTGCAGCTGACAGCGTCACGGGGCGGGAGGGAGAGGGGCAGATGGATGGATAGATGGATGAATAGAGAGAGAAGAAGAGGTCATGCCGGTGCTAAACATACAACATGAGGAGCTCTATGATCAATGTGCTGCAGAAGGTGAGACGATATCGGGATTTGTACATTTTGTGTGTGTGAGAGTGTTTTATTATTAAGTATTTGTGCTGCTTACAGGCACTACAGGACTTCTGACAGGAATTCAAGGTCATTTATAACGGACAGGGCACATGGGGTGAACTCGTGTGTTTCTGACTGTGTGAATGCGGTATGTGTTGTCTCCGTCTGTTTGCGTAGTTGCATGCAGGCATTGTTAAATGCTTCCTTTGAATTGCTGTGGCAGTTTTTTTGAGGGTGTGTGCTGGCTCGATTCTGCAGTGTGTACTGCAGACCTGTACTGAGACCAGCCGAGTGTGCTGATGTCATCTTTGAGAGTTCATGTTGTGCTGATGTCATCTTTAAGAGTTCTTGTTTTGCTGATGTCATCTTTGAGAGTTCATGTTGTGCTGATGTCATCTTTAAGCTGACCGACATGACATTCCTCTGAGATTTAAACGTGTCCATATACTACATACTAAATTAGCTCTGTTTCAAACCCTAGCGTGTCTACATGGCAGTCGTGGAAGTTTCAAGAAGTGTAACAATGAAATTGCATGGGAGACTCAACTTAGTTGATTTTAATGGAGTTTAACGTTAGCAACACTTAATGTTTAACTTTTTTATTTTTGTGCACATAGCTTACATAGATACATTCTTTGTCTTTAAATTGCCCTTTCTTTGGATTACAACACTGGCCAGGATGTGGAATAACAATTTTCAAAATAATGGGTTAAAATTCATCTTTTTATTGTTTTTTTTTTTTGTTTTTTCTTCATCCGATTAATCAAATACGCGCTATTGTTTCAAAGCAGTTTTAATTAAAAGCATGATGTCAATGTTTTTAATATTTTAATATTTTTATTAAGTTGCATTTAGCTGATTAGAGCTGGGAAATAAAGTAGTTTAAATTGTTTTCATATTATAAATCTAGCAGTTGATCGCATAAATCGCTTTATGTGAGTATATAGTGTATAAATAGTGTAACGAGTACTTTTTATATACAACAACAATTTATATAGACCTGTGCAATAATATTGTGAAGATATAAATATTCTTTTTTTTTTTTTTTTCATATGCATTTTTTAAATGCAAATTTGATCTAAATTTATCTCGCTTTGTTTTTTTCGCTGAAATTTTCACAGTGCTTGCTTGTCCTTTCGATGAAGGATGTGTGTGATGCCAAATAAACATACAAATTAGCCTGAATTAGACTTGAGAGCACTCCTGTGATGACTTGAAATTCTGCTCACCAAGTTTTGAACCAGTTTTTTTTAAATATCTAATGTGACTGTATCTTTAACTACACAAACATCACAGATATGTCTACAGAAGGCCAGCTGTCTCAGACCAGAAATCAGCTGACGATCTCCTAACACGCCACTAACCCTAACCTCGCTACAACATTCAACTCCACCCGAGCAAATAGCTAACCTCACCCCACTACATTCACTAACCCTACTCTTAATCTCCAGTCTGAGACAGCTGGCCTGTACTGGTGCTGTTGGATACTATTGAAACATCAAACCATGTGTACTAGAGCACTAATGTGTGTATAGGGTAGCTCTGAGTCCTGCTGAGACTTTTTGCCCTAGTTTCTCCCAGCTGGACGATGATGATGTGATACTAAGAATAACCCGAGAGGGGGTAGATGGAGGCTATTTCAGGTTTATAAACGGAGGGCTGAACATGAGAGTGCATGAATAAGAGCTCAATGTCATATTTATAGCGGGACAGACATAATAGAGGATCCTACACCATTTACTAAGGTCGTCATGAAAATGTAACGTTTATTTCATAACCAACGTAGTGTGCAAGATGAGTGCAAAACCATGGATAGCTCATGTTAGACTATATAAACAGTATTGCAGGTGCATATAGTATACTGTATATATATATATATATATATATTAAAAAAAAAACTTGATTCCTCACTCACTTCATAGACTATATTGAATGAATCAACTAGTAATTTTTTCAAAAATACCATAGATTCCCTTTATATCTGTAATAGGCATTTATATTTAGTTTTAATAATTTTACGTGGCATTTTTAATTCTTTTTATTTAGCTGTACCGATATTTTTATTTCAATTGTTCGCTAATTTTAGCACTTAAACTTAACAGAATAAATAACTAACTGCATTAAATGGGGTTTTCATCTAATATTTATATTTTATTTCAGCTTTTTAATAGTTTTTAGTTAACGGTTATTATCAGTTAACATTAACAACACGAGTATTCCCGTGATTGGAGATTCCAGGTCAAACGTCCATGTTGCACTGTTATTGTGTTGTGCTGTCATTGTTGTTCGCTTATGCAAAAGTCCCAAGTTGTAGCAAACAGTTTTGCACGGGCCGCTGTGATATTGATCTTGGAAGTGAACTGGGCAGACTGACACACACTCCTGATGTCTTACCGGAGGTCAAAGTTCTCCTCCTTGTGTCTGATTACTAATGCATCACTTATTGCTGAGGTCCATGACACTGTTATACAACAGTTTATATTCATGTGTGTATACGTCTGAACTAGACCGAGCGGATCAGAGCTTTATTTATCAGAGGTTTATTTGGTGTGTGCGTGTTTGGGTCGGGTTGATGTCAGTGAAGTATTGTAATGATCGTCAGGATGCTTCAGTTGAGTGAAGAGTTCACAGCTCACCATCTCGCATCAGGTAAGGGTGTGTGTGTGTGTGAGTGAGAGTGAGAGTGAGAGGACAACCGATTAGTGGTCATCATCACTAGTTAAAGGCTAATAAATCAGCCAAAACATGTTTTTCTTTAAATCTAGTGTTTCACACATGTGTCTGTGATGCGGTTGAGTTAGGCCATAGAAAATATCATGAACCTGATATAAAATCAGTGGAAGTCTTATGCATTGTCCTCACTAATATAGTAGTGAAACGTGTGTGTGTGTTTAAACCTAATGAGAATGACTTTATTTTAATTCAGGATTGCTCACAGGACAGTGACTGCTGTCAGGTGCTTCATTATTCCTCTTTTATCCCTCTCTTTCTTTCTCCGCTGGTGATGATGTTTCATTTTCTCCCTCACTGGATTTTTACCAGATTTCCTCAGGATATAATACTTCTGTCTTTCCCCTCTCTCTCGTCTCGTTCTGCAGCATTTCTGGCTGTTGGTTCCCCTTATCCCCATAATGGCTCTAACAGCCTCTCTAAAGGTAACACGGTCTGTCTGATGCTTTATCTGTCTATATTCCACTCTTCTGTGGTCTATTCTTCATCCTAGTTTCTGCTTCTATTTTTGAGCTAGTATTTGACCTCGGACAACCAGCATGTGTTGTGTAGTCTGGTGTCCTAGAGCCATCTAAACTCGCATTAAAGGGGTCATATGGAAAAAGGTCGGTATATAAAACTTGTTAATATCTCTGTTATTTACTAAACTCAAAACTCCCTCTCCATTCCACCTGGAACATCTATTGAAACTAAGCTGAACTATGAGAACATTAACATAAGAACTAGAGCCAGACCGATATTATCGGCCGATATCAGGCATTTTCCATAATATCGGTATTGGCAGTTATAATGGCCGATAAATGAATATTTAAAAAATAGAATAAAAAACGGACGAAACACGCTTTAATCATCTCTCCTTGGCCTGTTATATTGAAAATGTATGTTTTACAATTTGCAGTATGATGTTATCTATTGCTAAATTATGGCTCATCATAGACTAGCTAACCACAAAGCTAGCTAATGCCACTATCATCAGTGGAAGACCGCTAACGTTAACATTAATGAGCTTGGAAACCACAATGAACTTTTTCTGCCTAAATAAAGTAATGATTACTGTATTTATAACTCGCATATCTCTAGTTACAGTCCCTGCATTGTAAAATGTAAGTTATACTTGCAAGGAGTGAACATTTAGACATAGAGAAAAAGTATCAAACGTATCTTGTGCAGAAAAGTTAGCTTTTCTTTTACACGTGTGTAAAATCCAACAATATTTAATAATGATAAAAAATATCGGCCGATATATCGGAATATCGGATTTTAAAACCCAAAAATATTTATATCGGTATCGGCCTTCAAAATCCTTTATCGGTCAGGCTCTAATAAGAACCTATTTGGTAGTATTCACTCATTTAATGTGTGAAGAGGTTAGCCAATCACAGATCTGTAACAGATCTGATTTGCATAAAGCCTTAAAGGTACAGTAGTCAAATTATGTCGCAGCAAGCAATTTATCCATCAATGCTGAATGTGAAAATTGCAAAAATTTGCAGCTTTAGATACCAGGAGGTCGATTAAAAAGTCTTGCTGTTGCTATATCTGTCGGGACAACCAGGTTTCATTGATTATCGATTTGTTGCATTGCAGCTGGTTTGGACACAGGTTCTCGCACAATTGAGGAAATTAAATGGAAACCCTGTTAAATAACATTTGGTGCAACTTTGACGAAAATGATTAGTAAGCCTTAAAACGTCTAGGAAATGACCCCTTTAAAGTTCTAGTGCTTATACGCAGTAGAGAGCAGAGCAGTTCATCTGAAGTGTAGAGTAAACTCACTTTAGATTTCCATCTATGTCACTACGGTCCAGAAGTTTGAGATTTGTTGGGATTGTTTTTGTTCACGGCTGCATTTATTTGATCAAAAATACAGTAAAACGCAAGTGACAATACTATTCAGAGCTGGACAAAAATTGCAAACATTCTGTTAGAAGATATATACAGTATATATATATATATATATATATATATATATATATATATATATATATTATTACACGCTAGGATATATATATATATATTATATATATATATATACACTCACCGGCCACTTTATTAGGTACCCCATGCTAGTAACGGGTTGGACCCCCTTTTGCCTTCAGAACTTCCTCAATTCTTTGTGGCATAGATTCAACAAGGTGCTGGAAGCATTCCTCAGGGAGTTTGGTCCATATTGACATGATGGCATCACACAGTTGCCGCAGATTTGTCGGGTGCACATCCATGATGCGAATCTCCCGTTCCACCGCATCCCAAAGATGCTCTATTGGATTGAGATCTGGTGACTGTGGAGGCCATTTGAGTACAGCGAACTCATTGTCATGTTCAAGAAACCAGTCTGAGATGATTCCAGCTTTATGACATGGCGCATTATCCTGCTGAAAGTAGCCATCAGAAGTTGGGTACATTGTGGTCATAAAGGGATGGACATGGTCAGCAACAATACTCAGGTAGGCTGTGGCGTTGCAACGATGCTCAATTGGTACCAAGGGGCCCAAAGAGTGCCAAGAAAATATTCCCCACACCATGACACCACCACCACCAGCCTGAACCGTTGATACAAGGCAGGATGGATCCATGCTTTCATGTTGTAGACGCCAAATTCTGACCCTACCATCCGAATGTCGCAGCAGAAATCGAGACTCATCAGACCAGGCAACGTTTTTCCAATCTTCTATTGTCCAATTTTGATGAGCTTGTGCAAATTGTAGCCTCAGTTTCCTGTTCTTAGCTGAAAGGAGTGGCACCCGGTGTGGTCTTCTGCTGCTGTAGCCCATCTGCCTCAAAGTTCGACGTACTGTGCGTTCAGAGATGCTCTTCTGTCCACCTTGGTTGTAACGGGTGGTTATTTGAGTCACTGTTGCCCTTCTATCAGCTCGAACCAGTCTGGCCATTCTCCTCTGACCTCTGGCATCAACAAGGCATTTCCGCCCACAGAACTGCCGCTCACTGGATGTTTTTTCTTTTTCGGACCATTCTCTGTAAACCCTAGAGATGGTTGTGCGTGAAAATCCCAGTAGATTAGCAGTTTCTGAAATACTCAGACCAGCCCTTCTGGCACCAACAATCATGCCACGTTCAAAGTCACTCAAATCACCTTTCTTCCCCATACTGATGCTCGGTTTGAACTGCAGGAGATTGTCTTGACCATGTCTACATGCCTAAATGCACTGAGTTGCCGCCATGTGATTGGCTGCTTAGAAATTAAGTGTTAACGAGCAGTTGGACAGGTGTACCTAATAAAGTGGCCGGTGAGTGTATATATATATAATATTATTGTTATTATATATATACTGTATGTATATATATATATATATATATATATATATATATATATATAAATACATGTTTTTATTATACATATATATATATATGTTGTTGTTTTTTTGTTTTGTTTTTTTGTTTTTTCTCATATGTGGAGAGTTTTCATGGCATCTGTCTGTAGTTCAGTGAGCCTTGATTTGTATCTGGTATGTTAACTTAAAATAAAAAAAATTGATCACAAAAAAATACAGTAAAACGGCCATATTGTAAAATAGAAAATATAAAAGAATGGAAAACAGTACATTTTAAAACTATAAGTCTTCAGTGTCACATGACCCTTCAGAAATCACTCTAATAGGATGATCTGCTGCTCATTAAACAATTCTGATTATTATTATCAATGTTGAAACAGGTAAATATGTCTTTACTGTCACTTTTGATCAATTTAATGCATCCTTGCTAAATAAAAATAGTAATTTCTCTCTCTCTCTCAAAAAAGTGTGTAATGCATGCAATTTAATAGTGAATCTGAATGCATATGTTTTTGAATGCACTTTGGGTTTGTGCATGACATCACTGCAGTGTGTGTTTGGTGCATGTGTAGAGCTTGCCATATGGCGTGTGGGTGTTTCTACACCTTCATATTTTGGTTCGTCTTGCCGAGAGAGAAAACTTAACCTTTTTTTTTTCTATTTATTCATAGAAAGAAACTATATCCCCATGCACCGCTAGTGTAGTTGCCAGTATTTGTAGGATTTCTTTTTTGATGCATGATGCACTGTTATTTTGTTTGTGTGACTCTCTCTCTGTAGTTCTCAGCGCTGAGCGGGTGGAGCAGATGACCAAGACCTACAATGACATCGACGTGGTCACACACCTCCTGGCTGAAGTGAGTGACGTGATCATTCAGAATGCTTTGTCTAGTCTGCTTTTGATGGTCATGACTCTTGATTGCCTGTTTGTATTACGATGTCGTCCCGCAGAGGGATCGTGATCTGGAATTGGCCGCACGGATTGGCCAGTCTCTCCTGCAGAGGAACCATGTGCTGCAGGAGCGAAACGAATCTCTGGAGGAGCAGCTAGCACAAGCTGTAGACCAGGTACAAAAAATTGAGGCTAAACGTGTACAAGTAGGATTTCCACAATGCGGAAAACATGGACGAAATCACATAATCCAGTCATTAAAGGAGAACTCCGGCGCAAAATGACCCTTTCGTCTAATAAAACATCGGTACCTTGTCGACCGTTCTCTGAGATTTGTTTTCATGATAATCGAATGTAAAGAGTTTTATCTCTAAAAACTGTTTAGCGTATAATGCTAGTATATGGGGGCATATAATAAGTAAAAAGACATCACTAGTTTATACCACTAACAAGGCTCAAAATAGCCCCACACTAACACAGTAACATAATGAGGGTCCATACATGCAAAACGAAGCATTGAGAACTTTGTAAGTGTACAGACCGTTTAATAAGAAGATACTTTATAAAGACTTCGTGTATACAGACAGGAGCCATCTTGGAAAACAGTCACGACAAGTCAAACCATGAACGTCGTGCTGAGTGAGCTGAACTGTATGAACGGCGTTCAGGGATCGACTTATCGAGATCGTATATATATATGATTTTTTTATTTTTTTTATTTTTTTCAATAATAAGGCCCCATTTTGTCTTAAATTCTGTGCTCTTAATTTTTCTGGATTTATGATTTAAAACAAATTTACAGTCAAAAACTGTGTTAATAAAATATATGCATAAAACATTAACAATTTAACACAGAGACATGCAGAACATACAGATTTCAATAACAATCTTTTTGCGGTTTAAATATTAACAGACACCCGTCCATATTCAGTCGCAATAACCCTACTCTTCATTTATTCATTCAAATTTTTCCATATTCAACGACATTCCGCATGCAAAACGCAAGTCTCTGAGTTTTTGCAGAACTATGCCCCCTCTGTAGTGGGGCGGCTAAGCGCAGATTTTCATCAGAATCGATCACTTTGCGATAAAAGCATGAAATTTGGTACGAAGGCTCACAAAGGGGGTCTGATCAGATTTAGGACCGTAGGCGCTCAAAATTTGGCCCCTGGGGGCCATGTCGGGCATTTTTCAAAATGGCCGCCAAATATGGATTTCTTAATGCGAAAATTAATTTAAAGCTGCCAGAAACCTAAAATGCAATTACACAATTCACCATAAATACATGTAAACATGACCACACTTTCACATAGAAGGTCTTTATACTTTCAAATATAAGATATGTTTAAAAAAAATTGAAAATGGCCGCCAAATATGGATTTCATAATGTCATAATGGATGGACGACAGAAATTAACAATTAAAAAAGTTGCACATTTGATTATTAAACAATCTAGTTCATTTTTAAACAAAAAGGAAAAGAGGTTATGATATCTATCAGAAATTATGTACTTTTTAAATGTACATTTAAATATTTAATATTAAATTGTGAGCATATACTATTTTTACTGGGTAGTTTGTCAGGGACTCCTTTTTATTCAGTCAGTAGGTTTCATCTTGTGGTGGCCACAGTTAAATATTATTCTCTTTAAAATCTAGGGAACTGGTGATGTTTTACTCTTGACTACAAGTGAGATAAAGGCAAAGTCAGTTTGTGTTTCTCACTGTTACTCAGTAAAAATAGTGTAGGCTAATACTGCAAGTAAGCAAACATAACTCAGACAGGCAAATATAACATGAAATAGATTTTAGTCTGCATGAATTTAGAGTTGGAATTCTGTGAAATAAAGTAGGTGTACATTTCCACAGAATTTCATTTAGGCTGGTTGTCTAAACTAGCTGCAATTCATCCCATTTATTTCATTGTAACTCTGTGCTCTTGTATGACTTCTTTGCTCTCCAAATGCTCTAAACTTGACTATAAATATTAATTGTAAGAACTGTTGAGTCCTGCTGGATTATTTGCAAGTGGTTTAGTAGGTAGGCCTACAAATCACATTGTAGACCGAGTTTTCCTCACAAGAAAAACAAATTAGCACGATTAGCATGATTACGACAATTAGACCACTACACAAGAACTACTTTGATCCAATGCAATGACTAAAACCTTCAAATTATTTAATCCTGGATATACTGATCCCCCAACACAAATAACTGACTGGGAACTGGGTTTCATTTGTCAGAATAATACTCAAGAGCCACTCAGATGCCCATCAAATTGCCAATGGCAGGTCAATACTGAACGTTACAAAAATCTGGCAGAGAATCTATTAAAATTTGATTAACTTAAACAACGACATCTTTACAGATTGCACCGTTAGATAAAGGGCAAGGTATAGAGGCCACATTTATTAGGAACAATGCAAAATATCACAAATTATACATGTCGCCTTAGATTCAACAATCAAATGCTACAAAGAGCTGAGAAGAGAGCTTCTACAACTGATGAGCATGACACTAGAAAATGAATAAAATTAGTTTTAAAAACCTCATTCAGTGATGACATCGATAAGACTTAATGTGGAGAGAACCTGCAGGTAATGAGAGACTTCATAAGGCTGCTACATTTCAAATTGATGAAAAAGTTCGAAAGTGTGCCGTTGTCCTCAATGACATCAAGCTTCTGGCACAGCTCAGTGGAGGTGACATGTTGGCTTTAGAGACCAAGTATCATTCCAAATGTTTGGCCTCTTTGTAAAATAGAGCTAGATCCCAAATGACACCTCACCAGGTGAAGAGCAGTTAGGACCAGATGTGACTAGTCCTTTGCATAACTTAATTAATAATACTAATTCATTAAATTTATATAGCGCTTTTTTCAGCACTCAAAGCGCTTTAAATAGAGAGGGGAATCTCCATCATGGCCTCCTAATCATCTCCATATATATATATATATGGAGATGATTAGGAGGCCATGATGGACAAAGGCCACTGGGCAAATTTGATTTGGCCAGGATGCCGGGGTTACACCCCTACTCTTTCGAAAGACATCCTGGGATTTTTAATGACCACAGAGAGTCAGGGCCTCGGTTTAACGTCTCATCACGACAGTATAGTGTCCTCATCACTTTACTGGGGTGTTAGGACCCACACAGGCCACAGGGTGAGTGCCCCTTGCTGGCCTCACGAACACCTCTTCCAGCAGCAACCTGGCTTTCTCAGAAGGTCTCCCATCTGGGTACTAACCAAGCTCAGCCCTGCTTAGCTTCAGTGGGCAACCAGTCTTGGGCTACAGGGTGATGTGGCTGCTGGCTATATCATGTTGTAGTCTTTACAGAGATGAAAACTGTCCACATGTGGTCTGTCCTGTCATGTGGTAATCTATTCACAACTGCAGCTATTGATAATGTTGATCATGATCCATCTTCAACAACAGCTAAGAATTCTTTTCACGGAACCTCCATCTCCCTCTTTCAACATCCGTCTTCAGAGAGGAAAGGAGAGCGTCGAAACATTGTTTCATCTCATAAGCCACGATGCTTCAAAAACAATCTACCTTTTGCCTCAAAACTATACAGATGTCTTCCCTGTCAACTACAACATTAAGACCTCATCTGTACCATCATCCCATGTTCAGTCCTTGAGCAGGCACAATGCTGGGTATATTAAGCAGGAGTTTGAATGGACAGAATGTGTCAGATCAACAAGTGACAAAGCTGGAGATCTCAGTGATTTGTCACGGGCTGCATACCATGCAACTCAGCAGTCACTGGACATTGATGCCACCTGCATTACATCATGCACACAGTTGCAATGATCAGGCACTCAATGGATGTCATCAGAAATGCAATTAATCATTTGCATCCAGAGCAAACCCCTGTGAACCCCTTTGACCAGCCACTATTTGCCTTGGCCAAGCAAATACAGTGGAAGTGGCCAAATAGATATGGTGAAATTGTGATTCTTTTTGGGGGTCTCCACATTGAGATGGCATTCTTGAGGACCAAGGAAGTGGTTGGGTAGAGGCTCTTGTTCAAGCAGACATTACAGGCACAGCTGACTCTTTCTTAAAAGTGGCCCATGTTGCTCATACGAAGAGAAGTAACAGAGGCTGCATTGTACATTTTGCAACGTGCTGCATATGACAATTACATGAATATGCAGTCCTCCAGTGATGTGCTGAGCTTTGATGAATGGTGCAAGAGGCAAAAAGATAAAAGATCAGCTCTTAATCACTTGTCACTATGATGTCTAATTTTGATCACATAACATGAATTTACAGATGATTCATGAACCCATGTATAGTAATATTTAGTATTACAGGAGCAAATTTTCAAACATATCTTATATTTTAAAGTTTAAAGATATTCTATGTGAAAGTGTGCTCATATTTACATGTATTTATGGTGAAATGTGTTATTTTATTTTATGTTTCTGGCAGCTTTTAATCCATTTTCCCATTACGAAATCCATATTTGGCGGCCATTTTGAAAAATGCCCACCATGACCCCCAGGGGTCAAATTTCAAGCGCCTACGGTCCTAAATCTGATCAGACCCCCTTTGTGAGCCTTCCTACCAAATTTGATGCTTTTATCGCAAAGTGATCGATTTTTGCGCTTAACTGCCCCACTACTGGCGACAAGCGAAACACCATGAGCACACCATATATAATATATATATCGGCCACCATATCAGTGTTGACCAATATATGTTAATTTTTAATGTTATTATTATCGGGCCGATATATTAAATCTATATAAAATATGATTGGAATCGCTTCAGAAATGGAAAATACTGCTAAGTGCAACATCAAGCCATTATAATGTTTGGGACATGCCTTTTAATGGCGTGACTTTTGTTTTTGTTATCATACAAATTTGGATTTATCGGCTAATATATCGCTTATCAGCTTTTAAAAATAAAGAATTATCAGTATCAGCCAAAATGCTCATATTGTGGATAGAAAAAATTATTGATTAGATGTGTTTTCAAGCATTCAAATTTAATTAAATCATTAAAATGGAACCCAGGAAAGTTAAAAGGACGGGGAAACTAATTTGGGAAAAATAAAATGGAATTTCAATGGGTCCTAAAAAAATGTAAACAAAAAGTTGTTGTCAAATTTTTTTGTTATTTTTTGTTATCTAAAACCGATTTCAAAGTGGGTTCAGTTTTATACTCAGATCTTCTCTCCGTATCAGGTTCATCAGCTTCAGCATGAGTTGGCGAAGAAGGATGAGCTCCTCCGGATGGTTGCGAGCGCCAGCGAGGAGAGCGAGACCGACTCCAGCTGCTCCACGCCGCTACGCCACCCCGGGCCCTCAGGGGCCGCTCTCGCCCTCAGCCAGCTGGAGGCCCTTCAGGCCAAACTCCAGGAGCTGGAGGACGAGAACCTCTCGCTGAGATCTGAGGTGCGGCACGGGCTCTGCCTGATGTTTCAGGAGCTGAAGGGTTTGACCAAAGCGTGACCTCTGATGTTTTACAGGCCAGTCACCTGAAGAAGGAGACCTTCACTTATGAGGAGAAAGAACAGCAGCTGGTGAACGACTGCGTTAAAGAGCTACGTGAGTGTGTTCAGCGACTCTATACTGTCTACATCAGCAGCAGGATAAACCAAATTACGCCTCATTCATGGACACTAAATTTGTCTGCCATTTAGATGAAAATTTTTTGTGATGCGTTCTGGGATGCCACAAAAAATTCATGCGAGCGCTGTTGTTTTTGGCTAGGGCTGGGCAACGATTAATCGCGATTAATCGCATACAAAATAAAAGTTTGTGTTTACATAATATATGTGTGTGTACTGTGTATAATTATTTTGTATATAAAAATTCACACACATGCATGTATATATTTCAGAAAAATGTGCTTTTAGTACATAAAATATTTATATTTAATATAAATTATGTATAAGTATATACATGCAAATATTTCTTAGATATATACATGCATGTTAGTTTGTTTATATATACAAAATAATTATACACACTACACACACATATTTCATGTAAACACAAACTTTTATTTTGGATGCGATTAATCGCGATTAATCGTTGCCCATACCTAGATAGGGTTCATAGAAACAAAACTTTGGTAACGCTTCCTTTTACAGTCCACTTACCCATGTAAATACTATGTACTTATTTTAGTAACTACAATTACTGGGTAATAACTAGTACTAACCCTAAACCTACCCCTGTTTCATGTACTTACCTTATATTAGCCAGTACTTTCTAGGTAAGTACATTGTAAGTACTGTACTGTAAAAGGAAGCGTTACCAAAACTTTCAGAATGTGAAATCAGATTGGATTCATTCGACAAAAATAAGCGCATGGAAACATACTATAGAATGTGATGTGGGTGAAATGCTTATTTGGAGTCGTTTGTTTAACAGGCGAGACAAACAGTCAGATGGTGTCACTGACGGACGAGCTCTCCCTGAAGAACGAGGATTTAATGAGACATCAGGAGGAGATCGCCCAACTCCTCACACAGATCGTAGAGCTCCAGCACAGAGTCAAAGAGGTCCGCGGGCACATTTACACTACTCTTCAGAGGTTTGGGGTCTGCGGGAGGGTTTTTTTTTTTTTTTTTTTTTTAGCCCTCAAGCCGTATTTACTTTATAGCTCTTTTTTTTATTTTAGGGTTTTTTTGAATTTATTTACTTCAAAAAGTACCATATTTTCTGTGTTAATTATGCTTATTTTTTGTGTTTTTTTTGTTTAACTACATTAAAATATCATTCCAATAAGTTCTTAGAGCTAAAACCTAAAGATGAAGTGGCTTTGCTGTCACCTGGTGTCTTATTTTGGCTTATTTTAGAATGCTCTAAATTACAGTTTTTCCCATTCATTTCTATGGGTGCCCATTTTTGACCCAAATACAAGATTAAGGAGGGTTTTTTTCACCCACTTAACATTGTAGAATTGAGTCAAAAAAAAAATTGTGTGTGTTCAGGAGGCAAACTTAGGAAAAGTAGCCAAGTCTTGTACCGCTCAGATCAAGGGAAGTGTTTTTTAAAAATAAATCCCCACATTTGTCCAGAATACGGTTTGAAAGTTTTTATTCAGCAAGGATCCATTAAAAGGATCAAAAGTGAAAAAGACATTTATAATTTTACAAAAGTTTTCTTATACAAAGTAAATACTGTTCCTTTGAACCTTCTATTCATCAGCATCCTGAATTGTATCACTGTTTTCCACAAAAATATGAAGCGGCACAACTGTTTTAACATTGATAATGATAAGAGCACAGAGCAGCAACTGAACATATTAGAGTGATTTCTGAAGGATCATGTGACACTGAATACTGGAGTAATGATGCTGGAAATTCAGATTTGATCACAGGAATAAATTACTTTTTACAATATATTCAAACAGAAAACATTTCTTTTGAAGTGTAGTAATATTTAGCAATATTACAGTTTTTACTGTATTTTGGATCAAATAAATGCCGCCATGGTGAGCAGAACAATAGTGTATGTTGATGTATAATTGTGCATGTCTTGTTTTTCTCAGTTGGCGCTAGAAAAGGAAGAGTTGAGAATTCACCTTCAAGCCTCAAAGGAAGCACAACGGCAGCTTACGGCTGAGGTAAAGCTACACACACACACACTGATGTAAAGAGCCGGAAACCAAACCGTCTGCAAATCTGGATTAAGACCGATCACTCTATTTAAAAAGCCCTGTTTGAATTAATCCACTTGATTTAAAGTCTTAAAGCTTTTTAAATATCAGTTTTAAAGTTTTACAGCAAAGCAGCTTAGTCACTGTGATTTAGAAAAGGCCATAAACTCATTCATCCATGTGGTGTGTTGGTCTTATCATTGCACTTCAGCTGAACTTATGAAATATGTCCGTAGAGGCTGGCGTGTTATAATATGTCACAGGACAGTGTTGGTTAATAAACAATGCTGTGATTATTTCACTGGAAGCATAATGGCAAGCATGCCTTTAATCTCTTTGTATATCGCATATCGTCATTTTAAGAACATTTTGTCAAACTGATACGATATAGAGACACACCCAAGTGCATCAAAGAGCAACTGGCAGAATGGCAGAAAAAACACTCCCTAAATTAATAAATGTAGGAATGCACTTGAGTACCAGCAATGTGCGATCATAAAAAGAAATGTAAGTTTTTCTAATTTTTTCTGATTGGTTATGGCATTTTGGGTGGAAACTTGAGGTCCGATAAGTTAAGGTTGGGATGGTATGCAGTCAAGACTGGCTAAAACATTGGTGACATTCATTCTTACTGTGTGTTAACAAACATCAAGCATGTAAACACAATGAATCAAAGAATAATCAAAGTCATGTTTATATATCATGCTATATTATACCAGCTGACTACGGAAAATAAACATTGGTCTGTGTGTGTGTGTTAGCTTAAGGAGCTGTCTGACAGAAATGCAGAGTGTGTGGGAATGTTGCATGAGTCTCAGGAGGAGATTAAGGATCTGCGCAGTAAGAACACTCCGTCTGCAGGCCTGCGCAGACACCTGTCTTACGGACTCTATCCCATGGTGAGAAACACGGATCTCTCACACACATTTCTTCTTTTACAATCACATCTGTTCAGAAACTTATTCAGTAACCTGCACATGCTAAGCATTATAATACCCATTGCAATCTGTTGTATACATTTTTGTTTGTTTGTTTTATTTCGTTTTATTATTATTAAATTTCATTTGTTCTTTTTATGTCTCATTTTATTTCATTTGTTTTGTTTTTTTGTGATTTGCTTTGTTTTATTTTGTTTAATTTAGTAGGCTTTTTTTTGTCTTTTTCATTGTATTTAATTTTTTTATTTTGTTTAGTTTTTGTTTTATTTTATTTTTGTATGTTTTATTATGTTTTATTTAATTTAGTTTGTTTTATTGTATTTCATTCAGTTTTGTTTGAATATTTCTTGTTTCATTTGTTTTGTTTTGTTTTGTTTTGCTTTTTTTATTATTGAGTTTTTCATTTGTTTCGTTTAATTCAGCTTTTTGTTTTATTTTATTTTGTTTACTTTTTGTTTGATTTTAATTTTTTTGTTTTATTTAATTTAGTTTTTTTATTGTATTTAATTTAATTTTGTTTTTTGTTTTATTGTTTGGTTTATTTTATTTCTTGTTTCATTTGTTTTTGTTTTGCTTTGCTTTTGTTGAGTTTTTCATTCGTTTCGTTTAATTCAGTTTTTTGTTTTATTTTGTTTAGTTTTTGTTTTATTTTAATTTTTTATGTTTTATTTAATTTAGTTTGTTTTATTGTATTTCATTAAAAAATGTTGTTTAGTTTATTTTATTTCTTTCATTTGTTTTTGTTTTGCTTTTGTTTTGTTTTTTTTATTTTATTATTGAGTTTTTCATTTGTTTCGTTTAATACAGTTTTTTGTTTTATTTTGTTTTCTTTTATTTAATTTAGTTTGTTTTATTGTATTTAATTTAATTTTGTTTTATTGTTTAGTTTATTTTATTTCTTGTTTCATTTGTTTTTGTTTTGCTTTTATTTGTTTTTTATTTTATTATTCAGTTTTTCATTTGTTTCGTTTAATTCAGTTGTTTGTTTTATTTTTATTTTTTGTTTTATTTTTTCGTTTCAGGTTTTTTTAAATTTTTGTCTTATTTCATTTAGTTGTTGTTTTATTGTCTCTGTCTCTTTGAGTTAACAGGTCATAGCTTTTTTTGTCCTTTAGGATTCTTTGGCAGCTGAGATTGAAGGTACTATGAGGAGAGAGTTGAGTGTAGATGAAGAAATCGCCTTTGAGGACCAGAGGTGACACTCACAATTCACCCTTACACACACGTCAAGTTTCCGTAGCCATGTGTTCCTTCAGCAGTACTGACCTTTGACCCCGTCTGCTCTGTGTTTGAAGGTCGACCCATAAGCGTGTGTTCCAGACAGTACAGTCAGTGAACCGGGCCGTGATGAGAGCGGCTGCCGCTGTGCCTCCGATCCCTGGATCCGCTCGCAGCGGCGTGATCATGACACCAGTGCCCTATCTATCACACACACACAACACAGAGGAAGGAGCTGGAGATGTGGACGTCACCAAGTGAGTGTGATTGGAGAATGTATTCATATTAGGGCTGTCAAATAAAAATTCGGATTTCGAATATTTGTCGAATTTAAAAAAAAACTGCACATTCGAATTTTTGGTGTCAACACAAGAGCATAGTTCGACTATAAAAGGTCAAGAGGTGCATGGGACATGACGATGATGTAACTTGATGATAAGCTTATCTAGTATACAGCTGGTGCGCTGCTTTTTTTTTTGATGAACAAAATGTAGATGTCGTGAGTAGAAGTGGATTGTTTCTGAATGGCAGTTTTGCTATTTTGTAGTTCATTACGCTGTCTGCTGAAGTGTGTTTTCTCAGATTACTGATGCACTTATACTTTAATGCACTATTGTAGCCTAATTTTCCTCGCTTTCACATTAGGGAAATTATATTTTACCTAAGAACAATTTTTTTTCAAAAGGGAATGCACTTTAAAAAGTAAATGTCATTTAATTTAAATAAATTAAAAGATGGGATGCTTGATTTTATTTTATATTTGCTTATAGCGCTCGCTTGCACCCTCTTGAGGGCATATGAGACAATACAGTTAATACAGACAATACTCTTTAAAGCTTTACAAACATTAAAGCTCCAGTCCGTTACTTTTTGGGGTTAAAGTTTTAAAGTTTTAATTCCAGTGGAACTGGTGGATTTACACAGGAAATTCCATCATGTCTTTGCATCATTACGTCACATCTGTACACATAAAGAAGGAGCTATATTGCGTGTGAGGATGTTGGAAGTGAAGATTTATAGCCTTTTCTCACAGCACTTGGTATAATTAAACTTATCAATTTGATGGCAGATCCAGAAAGGTTTAAATGACAATCACCAGTGTAAAAAAAAAAAAACGTGCCATGCGAAAACAAGGATAATATCAGAATTGCATTAAATTTAGTCGTTGAACATTACCAATTTAAGGACAAAGTATAATTTGCACGGTTTGATATGATAAGCCATCGTTATTATTAATCAGCTTGATTTACTGCATTGCGTTTGTCCCTTAGATGGTCAGAACAAAAGTGGAAGTTACTTGTTCAGATTACATTTTTCAGTGAAAATTATGATGTTGGTCATACTTCCAAAAAGTCATTGGTCACTCCTCAAAACATTGGACTCATCTGCGACAGCCCTAATTTATACCCACAATGCTTTTGTGCGCTGCAGAGAGAACTCCCGTCGAGGTCAGCCCGGTTCTCCCGGAGGAAACGACCTGACGTCAGCCGTGAACCGGCTCTCCCTGCGGAGGCAGAACTTCGTGTGCGAGCGACAGTTCTTCCAGGCGGAGCGAGACCGGAAGCTGAAGCCGTCGGACGCGGGCGCGAGCGGGTGCAGTTCACCAACGGGAAGCACCGTCTCTTCTTTCACCAACCTATCAGAATTCTCCTTTTCCTCCAGCTGTTTCAAGACATTTCTTCCTGAAAAACTGCAGATTGTTAAACCAATGGAAGGTGAGGATAGGATAGCGTGCCTAAAAAAACAGTCAGGTTTTTCTGAAATTGATTCAAATAGAACAATCAGTTAAAGGTGCTATATGTATTTTTTAGCGGCCTCTATTGGTGATTGAACCAGATTGCAACCAATTTTTACAAGAGGGCTCGTGCTCGAACACAAAAGCGATCACTCACGGTACACGGCCAAATCAAATTTTGTACATATATTCTTTAAAGGGTCTACTACTGATATATTTTGAGAATTATACTCCTGCATTTATATTTTGCTCGTAAGACTTGTAAATTATACCGGTAGTATAACAGTATAGCAGTGCTTCAATTGAAAACACAGGTATAGGCAGATATTGGCGGGTATTGGCAATCCTACACTGAATATGCCACATCTGTGAGGAGGATGGATGATCTCGGCGAAGGAGAAGTGCTCACTAACACAGATTTAGACAGATTTGTGAACAATATTTGAGAGAAATAGGCCTTTTGTGTACACAGAAATGGTCTAGATCTTTGAGTTCAGCTCATGAAAAATGGGGGCAAAAACAAAAGTGTGATGTGCACGTCACATCCGACGGCTTTCGCGGAAAATCCGACCCGGAGACTTCACGTAGAAATGGGAATATTGGCCTTCAGGGGTAATAGCAAAACCCGACTAGTGGATGATCATTGTAAAGTTGTGATTACAACCCCTTCACACACAGGCCATTAAAAAAGGATTCATTTTAGAAGAAAAGTTACATATAGCACCTTTCTTTTTATGAAAAGGGATTTTGTCATTTTTACAGTCGCACTTTATAGTAAGATTTAATTCATTCATTTTAAATAAACTAAAAGCATGTATTATTGTTAATTTTCAATTTTAATACCTTTTTAAAATGTAATTTATTCCTGTGAATTTTCAGCATCATTACTCCAGTCTTCAGTGTCACATGATCCCTCAGAGATCATCCTGATATGCTGAGTGTTTGTCCCTGCAGGCTCTCTGACTCTTCATCATTGGCAGCAGCTGGCTAAACCCCACCTGGCCACTATTCTAGACCCCCATCCAGGTGTAGTTACCAAAGGCTTCCGCCCTCTCCCTCAGGACTGTGTTTATCATCTGAATGACCTTGAAGAAGATGAAGACCAGGCTAAAATCTCAAGGGAACACCAGAGAAAAGAGGAGACGACACGGGCCACAAAAACAAAAGAGGATGAGGAGGAAGAAGAAGAGGAAGGAATCACATTTCACGTGCGGTCATCATCTACTCCGGAAGAGAAGACCGAGAGAAGGCGTGTCCAAAGCCCAGCTAATAATGTCCCACCCCTTCCTGCATCCCTCAGGAACTCCCCTATGCCCATAGCAACGGTTGTGTCCTTAGCAACAGCAGTTAACCAGACAGCAGACTCAGAATCTGCAGTTCCCCAGTTTAACCTAAGTATCGGCTCTACAGCGTCCTCTACAGGTAAACAGCTGTCACTGCAACCACCATGTGTCCGTTCCTGAATAATAATGCGTGATTGTTGATCACTTTTTTTTTGCTTGTTTAGCTATAAACCCTGGGAAATATCAGAGCTCCACTTTTTCCACGTACACCTTCACCACCTGCCGGATCATGCATCCCAGTGACAACACACAGGTTACACAAAGGTAAAACAACTACGGTCTTAATAAAGCGAGAAGTTCAAGGGTGGAAGAACAACTGTTATTATATTGGTGACAACAGCAGTAGTGTTATTAGACTGATTCAGATTTCTTATATAATTATTAAACTTTTTATTAACCTGTTCTCATCCGGGCTGGGCGTTCTTGTTCTTGAGGGAGTTGTAAAATGAGCCTATTTCCAAAAAAAAGTGGAGTATCCCTTTAATCATGATTTCTCTACATGAGGACAGGAGAGCTGTCGATCTATATATGGGAAACTTGAATTACTCATTTGAAAAAGGGTAACTTGGATGTGTTGTTTTAAATTTATAAGTAATGTTACTTTACTAGTTACTTGAAAATGTAATCGGATTACTTAACCAGGGTACTTGTAATGCTGGTTATGTATTGTTTCTGTTCCTCAGCTCTGCCTGTAGTCCTTCTGTCCGCGTTAACACCCCGAGTTCTCTCCGGACCGGTCCCAGCACTCCAGTCACACCCTGCAGGTTGAGTCTGGGTGATTGTTTCCCGGTTCGCCGGCCTGCAGCGCCCCCTGGTGGTCTCGCCAAGCTCCTGCTGGAGAAAGGCATCTCTGCTCAGGGTCCCGTTGCTGTGGCGGCTCCTAAAAAGCCTCTTTCTCTCCGTCTTCTTCCCAGCACTCCTCCAAACTCCCCCTCCCACTCCCCGTGCCCCTCCCCAGTGCCCTTCGACTCCCGATCCACCTCTTCGGACAACTTTCTGGCATCCCGTCCCGCTGAGCTCTTCCTGCAAGACGTTTACGGGCTGAAACTCGGTCGTGCGTCCCGACCGGATCTCCTCAGCCCTGAACGACCCCCTCACGGCCAGTCAACCAACCCGGACCACCACGGCGTCAAGCTCGTGGAGCATCTGCGCAAGCTCGGCTTGGATAAAAAAGTGCTCCAAGGGTCTGATGCCGACGGTGCCCATCCACAGGAACCTGCCACCTTCCTAGCGACAGGAGGCGGCAGCTTATTGGACGGGCTTAGGCGAAATCAAAGTCTACCTGTTATGGTTGGCCGCCGTAGCGCGTCCGTTTCCAGTCCGTCCTTTCCTGTCCCGCCCCCTCACCCGACTTCATTGGCCATTCCCACTCCACCATGGGGGAACCCGAAGGAGCCGCGCCACACACGTAGACCCGCCTCCCTTTCTCAGGCCCCGCCCCACCTGCATAATTAATACGGATGTGGGAGGGGTCTCAAAACCGTCAGTTCCCCCATCCTGCCACCAAAAGAAACTGAAAGGTTTTTAAAGCACACAAAAAAATGAAGGGAAAGTGTTGATGAAGATTTTAAAGGCCTTATCATAGCACTCAAGAGGAAATGAAGACTTCTAATACCATTTCCCCCATCTTTATTGTTTATTTTCATCCTAATTTACTCTCATTAACACTTCATCACACTTCTGTTCTGTCCATTAACTCACGAGGCTGTGGAGTTGTGAGGTGGTGGAGACTGGAGAGCAGGAAGGAATATGTACGTGTTGAAGGATGTTGGATGGAAGTTTAAAGTACTGGGAATGGGGCGGTTTCTGTAGGTTTATTTAGAGGTTTCTGTCACGTAAATGAACACAAACGAGAAAGGAATATAGAAAGTGAAATGAGAGTTTGCGTCTCCACAGCCTCGTTTTTTTAGGAGTTTGCAGCAGTTCCTGAGAGTTTCTGTCCTGCGTTATAGACATTTAGTTGAGCATCCAGCTGTCTGTATTGTCTTTTTTTTTATCGTGTGTATTTTTGCATCGTTACAGGTGTAACCAAGATTGTGTGTCCCTCATCATTATAGTGTATATGGACATAAGCTTCTCGTGTTTTTTTGCACTAAATTAGTTGGTTATTGGGAAAGTTTGTCACAAAAGAGCACATCTGGATTGATTCGAGTTTGTTACATGTAACCTAATTCTAAAAGATGATTATATTCAGGGACTGTGTATTTAAGGGAAAGAGTGATCACTTGGAAGGCATCACTGCAGATTAATATGAATATGCGACTGAAACAAACGTTTGATTTTTGCTGCAGTTTCCCATTTATTAGGGTTGTATTTTCATTCTCCTTTGCGTTTACATCCCTTAAATATAAAACATGCAAATTGTATTTTTAAGTGACTACTAAAGTTTGCCTATGACCTTTGACCCCTGAATGAATTTCAGTTGTGCTTCCTTGTCATTCTCATTTTATGCACTTTTCGTTTAACCCATGAAAATTGTGTTTTAAGGAAATAGGCATTACATGTGTTATCTAACAATGAGGTATGTTAATAGCGATATATAATATGATTTACACGACTAACATTTCATGTTTTTGGTGGAGTTTGAGAAGGGACTCAAGATTTTAAGGCCTTTTTGGGTTTAAACCAAAATTATACAGTATGTCTTATTTGCCTGAATTGTCATTTTATAAGCTAAAACTTGTGTTTGTGGTAAACTGACTTTTTGTGCTTTTAGTAAACACAGTGACGGCACAGGGAAAAGCATCAGAAACTAACAGGTGAGACGTGTGTCGGCTGTGCCAGTGAACAAGAACACAAAGTAATACACACCATTCAAACTAAACGTCAGTTTCGGATCGCATCATACATCAGACTAATACCAGCATGTACACCTCGAACCCGAGCTGAAGTGTATGGTACTAAACGCATGATTTGATAGAAGTATCAAAGTGTCCTTATTTCCATCCTGCTGTTGATGTCATCAAGCTCTCGGCTGCCATTCAGGTCAAAGGTTAATGCTTGAAGATGATGCCATAATTTGTGACATTAAGCACCAAATGATTTCTTTTGTGCGGTTGAGCTAGTAACCACAGCCTTGGTGTGTTTTCCTGTGTTTAGCTGTCAGAAGAACCCTGTATCAGCAGTATCATGTTGGGTTTTTTATAATAAAACAAACAAAATCAACTTTGGTGTACCTGACATTTCATTCTGGAGTTTAAAAAGTACAATGAAACTAAAAATGTGCTTTTTATCTGTTCGTTTTATGTTTTAAGTATATCGTAGTAACAATACATTTCCCTTATTAAAGTGTGAAAAAAGTTACATTAGATTGTTTTAATGTACATTGATAATTGTTCATTTATTTTAGGAATTATTGGCCATAATCCTGATTCTAAAAAACAAAACAAAAAAATTCATCCAAATGAAACAGTTTGTAACATTTTGACATTTATATTTTTGAGTGAACAAAAAGTTACAGCCCAATTCCAATTAGAATAATTAAAAAAAATAATGTGACGTGAATTAAATATTTATAAATAATTATAATTAATTTTTTATATTGCATAAAACATTAATTCATATTAAAGTAACTAGATTTTTTTTTACTTTTGCAGGGTTTTTATGTATAGACAGTATGATTTATTATTGCCGTTTTTCAGTAAACAAATCATTGCATAGTTGGAATTACAAACAAATTAAATCATTACAGTAATGAGAATTTATTTTTAAAAAATTTAAAAAGTAACACTTTAGGGTCCAATTATCACTATTAACTAGTTGCTTATTAGCATGCATATTACGAGCATATTGGCTGTCTATAAGTACTTCCCTTAATCCACCCAATACCTAAACTTAACCTTACTAACTATTAATAAGCTGTAATTAGGAGTTCGAGGCAAAAGTCGTAGTTAATAATGAGAATTAGACCCTGATCTAAAGTGTGACCAAAAAATAATAGTCTAACCAATAGACTTGATTTTCTTTATCCCCAAAATATCTTGATTTTGCGGTGAAAATGCCTTCGTTCACAAGGGACAGATTTTAATGCTGTCTGACGTGGAGTTGAACTGACCCATGGCGAAGTCGAGCCCCACGCCGACCCCACAGCCGACCCCGAACGCAGCATACAGTGAGGCTGGGAACGACCCGTGAAAGACGTGGAGAGGAACCAGCTCGTCATCCACGCTATAGAAGCTCAGAGTCCCTGCGGGCCGGTCCAGAAACACGCCTACACGGGGACTGTAGGTCACTGGGATCTCCTGCTTCTGATTGGCGTGCATGGCAGCGCAGCACATGTCTGACAGCTCCAAGCTCCACGATTGGCTGTTATACCCAAGCCCCGCCCCTGAATCCGCCCCCTTGCGGGGCATCGAGGCGCTGGCCACGCCCAGAGATGAGCCCCGCCCCCTCCACTCCACCTCCCAGTAGCAGCGCTCAGAGGAGAGCTCCTGGACACACAGCACCTGCGTCCAGCAGTCGAAGCGCTGAGAGAGGTCAGGGAACGCCTGGGACGTCTGATGAAGAGTGGCTACGGTGTCTCCTTCAGACAGGACCAGGCGCCGGTGGGCTGTGTTTGGGTCAAGGGTCAAATCACAAGCATCTAATGGAGGCCGAGAGAGAGAAGCGGATGAGAAGGAGAGTCTGAAGCTAGAGATCGATAATAGAAGATAATCAGCCGTCATGAGGAATAAACTCACACTGCAGGAACTCGTCTCTGGTCCTCGGCTCTGGGGCCTGAATACTGTCAATGTTAATTTCTCTCACTGTGAAGACGGATGGAGACAAACAACAAGCTGTAAGCAAATATGATCATTCAAATATTTTTAAAAAGTGGCTATCTATCTGTCTATCGATCTATTTTTCATATGATCATTCAAATATTTTGAAGTGTCTATCGATCGATCTATTGATCTATCTATCTATCAATTGATCTATCTACTGTATCTAGCATACATCTATCTATCTATCGATCTAGCATATGATCATTCAAATATTTTTAAAAGTATCTATCTATCTATCTATTGATCTATCTATCAATCTATCCATCTATCTATTGATCTATCTATCTAGCATATGATCATTCAAATATTTCTTAAAAGTGTCTATCTATCTATCTATCTATCTATCTCTTGATCTATCTATCTATCCATCGATCGATCTATCGATCTACTGTATCTATCTAGCATATGATCATTCAAATAGTTTTAAAAGTATCTATCTATCTATCTAGCATATGATCATTCAAATATTTTTTAAAAGTGTCTATCGATCTATCTATCTTTCGATCTATATATCTAGCATATGATCATTCAAATAGTTTTAAAAGTATCTATCTATCTATCTATCTATCTATCTATCTATCTATCTATCTATTGATCGCTCTATCGATCTATCTATCTAGCATATGATCATTCAAATATTTTTTAAAAATATCTATCTATCTATCTATCTATTGATCTATCTATCTATCTATCTATCTATCTATCTATCTATCTATCTATCTATCTATTGATCTATCTATCAATCTATCGATCTATCTATCTATCTATCTGCATATGATCATTCAAATATTTTTTAAAAGTGTATCTATCTGTCTATCTATTGATCTATTGATCTATCTGTCATATGATCATTCATATATTTTTAAAAAGTGTGTGTATATCTATCTATCTATTTGTGTTTATCTATCATCTATCTATCAGTCATCCTATCTTTATATCTATCGTGTCATCTGTCATTCTCTATAATCTGTCTGTGTGTCATTTTATCTGCCTGTGTAATTCTGTCTATTTGTCATCTATCCATCCAATGTTATGCATATAGTATAAACTGTAAAAGATAACGTTGTAAGTGCTCACATGTGGGAAAAGCGGGATTGATGAAGGGATTGTCAGTTGGTGAGTCCAGGAAAAGAGAGGGATTCACTGCACAGAAAGACAGAAACAGTTTTTTTTCCTTCATGTAATTAATTTAACAAACCTCACCATGATGGAATAGGAAACCCAATACAATACAACCCAATAAAGCAAAACCATTGAACATTACCTTCTGTTGGCGCTCCCCCTACAGAGACAACAGAAACACATTTCTCTTTAGTGTCACATGATCCTTCAGAAAATGAAGATTTTCATTATTATCAATGTTCAAACAGTTGTGCTGCTTCATAATTTTGTGGAAACCTTGATGCATATTTTTCAGGATTATTTGATGAATAGAAAGTTCAAAAGAACAGCAATTTATTGTGTCCTTGTTTAATAAAAGTATAAAGTAAAGAAAAAAAATAATCCACTGACCCCAAACTTTTGAACGATTGTGTATGCTTGATTCATTTATGTTTCATATTTTATTTTTTAAAAGGTACAATTTAGTTTTTCCATGACCAATTTTCATCCTCTCACTGTTGTTTCAATGTATAAATGAAAATAATATACAATCTACATCATTTATAAATGTATAAAGTATTTAAACGATTAATTATTCACATTAATAAAGCATTTAAACTGTAAAGTAAAATTTCAAATCATTCTTTAATCATCTGCGTATACTGATAGACTTACAGACACTGGTAGAGGTGGGGCTACGTGGCATCACTGACTCCGCCTCCTGTATTGTGGGTGTGGCCTCTTTCACTGTGATGGTACAAATGTGACATGTTAAAAGTAGGGCTGTCAAACGATTAATTGCGATGGGTGCACTGTGTATAATAATTTTGTGTATATATATATATATATATATAAATACACACACATGCATGTATATTTAAGAAAAAATATTATTTATATATAAAATATTTATATTTATATATAACATAAATTATATATAAATCTATATACATTAAAATATTTCTTAAATATATACAAGCATGTGTGTGTATTTATATATATATAAAATAATTTCACCCAGTGCACCTACATATATGTATTTGGATGCGATTAATCGCGATTAATCGTTTGACAGTTTGAAATCTAAATTAAAACACACCTGAAACACACCATAGCTGACAAAAATAAGGACATTGAGGTACTTGACATTTGACCGCAGTTCACATGAGACTATGAGCAGGAAATACAGACGTTTATCAGGACAAACCAGTATGACCAGTAAAGATTTCTTGGCAAGCCTTAGCTTGGTATCTTTGTGTGTGGGTTTATGTTGGTACATTTATGGCACACGTTTGACCCCAGAAGTTAGTTAGCTTTATATTAAAGCAATAGAAATCATACGTCATAATTCAGACTGCAAAGTAAACGTGTATTCTTGAGCTCACCTGTGTCCTGTCTCTTCTTCCTGTTTCTGGGTAAGAGAGAGCTCAGACTCCATCGGTCCGCTGATGAAGAAGAGAATGAGGAAATTTAATAATATACACATAATATACAATAATAATAATATACACTTATTCCAGGCAGAGCGTGTGTCACTCACATTGTCTGGCCGGCTGCTGTCGGTCCGCAGCGCTTGAGCTTTGCTGTGAGGGATTCAGGCTTTCTCCATTGACTGTTTGAAGGAAAACAGACACAAACATGCTATTCCCAAAGAAGTCAAACTTTAAATGTTCATAATGGGACCTGAATCAAATGTCACCTTGCTTTTTGTCTTCTCTCCTCAGTCTCGGTCTGATTGAACTCAAGCTCCAGCGGTCCGCTGAGAATTGAAAGTAAAACCGCTTTGAAACCCTTCATTTAAACCTAAAGGTCAGTGTTTGCTGGTAAGAATGTGTGTGTGTGTGTGTGTGTGTGTTAGTTCACCTTGCTCTTCATCACGTGTACTTCTGCTCTGTGTGCTCTGACGTCTTTGAGAGCTTTGATTTTCTCTTTCTATTTAGAGATAACAGAATAAAATAATGACATATTGAACATAAACATACTGATAAAACATAAAAATGAACGTTTACACATGACATGGATGAGTCATTTTTTACTCGAGAATCAGATGAAAATAAAAGATATTGCATTTGTAGCGTATTTCTGGGAGTTTTAGCTTTGTGATATCTTCTCCTCTACTTCTCATTAGTATTTTAATTTATAAATTTAAATCGTATTTAAATTGCATCTATAATATAGTATTTAAAGAGTACATTTAAAGTTTATAAAGCATTAGAAATGTCAAGTTATTATTTTATAAAGTATTTAAATTGCTTATCCTTATGAAGATCATGGTGCCGATATTGAAGTGGGAAATAAAAC